TTAATAGCTTTTATTTTTGCCACTTCAATTAGGGTCTAAAGACAGGCTTCAAGAACATTCGTCAGTTTGATGATACCGCCAGCCAGTCATATTTCTTCCCTCAGGGAGTTTGTGATGCAAACAAACGAACATTCTGAGTAGCACATGAAAATTCAATAAAACTTTGAACCAAAGGAATATTCCATTCAGAATATGATGTAGTATAAGAAGCTGGATAGCCTAGCCTACCTGATTAGTATCGAGTAGTCCCTGTCTACCAGACTGATGATGGATCAATGTTTTGTATATATTACTAAGACTGTTGGTATCCATGGGAATATCCAGGTTCCCACACCAACATCGTAATATATGGTGGGGGAATGAATGTTTTCCACATAAAACTGGTTTCCATGGCAACACTGGATCTGCTTCAGATTCATCCAATAGGAAATCTAAGATACAAAAAAATTACAAAATCATGGGCCAATGGAGTCGCTGATAAAAACCTCTGATGCTATGGTTGGTACAAGTTCAAATCGGCTGAATTGCCTGCTGGGGAATAAGGCGCTGTGGGTTAGAATCTGCAGTATTTCAGAGAGCTAGAACAACGTAATCAGCCTGTCTCATGTAGAGCTCCTAATTATTCAAAGTTAAATGAGAATCAAATCCAAAAACAAAGCCACAAGCCAGCCGCGAGTAGAGCTGCAACCTTTTTGAAGTTGTCACAAAATCCACACAAAAAAAAGTAACAAGCACACCTTAAGTCGAGCTCCCAAATTTTTCCAAGTAATCTGAAAATCCCCAGAGTATTTACCTGGCAGAATGGAATTCTGGGGTGGTATATCTCCCCATACACTGAATTTATCATCAGATATTCGATTGATCACGTCTGCACCACATAAACTCTGTAATTCTTTTACTAGTAATTCATGTAGGCTGACAAACGGTACAAATATCTGAAAATAAAATGGTCAAATCAAAACATCTGCTGCGACTAGGCAACAAATTAACATCTTTTAGCGGGTCCACGTAGCTAATTGATAGAAGTCAGGAAACTTGCTTATCAGGAGTGAGTACAATTGGAATATCCTGAAGTATGATGCAAAAGGAGTTTTAAATGGGCTAATGAAGAAAGTCAGTGTAATGCAGTGTGCAGCGAGGCAAATTTTGCCAGGACAGTGACATTAGCTCACTCTTTTTTGATTTTCAACTGTCAAGGGATCTTTAGCACACGGGGCCTCAGTTTATTGTCTCTTCCAAACGACTAGACACTTTTTCCATGTCAGCCCCTCATACCTGCATCAATGACAAGGAAATCTTAAGCTAGTCTATACCGTAAATAAACTCAATGCAAATGAGCAAGTTACAATGGGATATATCTATATAAGCAATCCTACCTTAGTGGTTTGATGTTCATTTAGAAATTTATAAGCATCGTGCCAGTCAAACTGCAAGAGAGACTGATTGACGACACGCTGAGCGTACAACATCCCTTGTTGTTTCTCATTGGCTATTAAAGTCATGTGAGCTGCTGTCTTTAAACTCGATTGGTCACATCGACGTACAATTACTTTAGCCGCATCTTGAATCTTCTTCATTGCTACATAGCTATAATAACAACATATATACTTATTTCTGGGCTATGCCAGTCAAGTCTGAGGTGATGATTGGACAGCATTTATCTGTCCTAAACTGTCAATTTGGTTGTATTTACCTGACTAAAGCTAGACTATGGATGGTAAAAGCTGAAAAATTATTATCATTGAGGGCTGAAGTCACAGTGTTTTCCTAGGCCAACAATTCCATGAATTCATATCTCTGCCTCGATGTATTTGTTTTATTGAAATTTGTAATTTTGTCCATTAAACCTATTGAAATTACTCAACCCACCATTTTGCAGCCTGTTCATACTGTCCGTCTTTCATCAGTTGTTGAGACCAATCAGTGTACAGATCTTCAAATGATGGATCCATGGGTGACAGTCGAACCTTCGCTAACGCTACAGCTTCTCTGAAAATAGAAATATTTTCTTCTTTAGAAGGATAACTTGGGAAGAACCAAACAATTCCTTCCACTCCAAAATAGGATATACAGTTCTATTTCATTTCATTAGTCCAATTAGGTACTGAAACATTGGACAAAGAACTCATTTCATTAGTCCAGTGCAGAAGAATAGATTTTAATATATTTTATTTCAATGGCTCTGTAAAGTGCAAATTTATTTCATCATCAACTCAAATTACTTTAAATGTCACAGATAATGAATAGAGACAACATAAAATCTAAATACTCCCTCTTGGACCATATTTTTAAAAAATAGAAATGTCAGACACGTGCTAAGAATATTTAAAAAAAAAAAAAAAAAAATGTATGTCAGGCAGTCAATAATAATAATGGGTCAGAATTAGGCCCAATACACAAGGACATGGTCCTGTCTAACATTCAGCCCATGGGGACAATATCATGAATGAATGAAAAAAAAAAACTTCAAATCTAAATCCTCCAATTTGGACTGTGTGTCACCATTTATTATAGAAATGTGCAAAGATTATTTTGAACACAAAAAATGTTCCAGGTCATCACTGTATGCAAGGCAATATAAGGTCATCATAAATCTGACAACTTAAAATTATGGACCATGTGTGTCACCTTTTATTAAACAGAAATTTCAAACATGTGCCAAGATAATTTTGAAGAAAATTTTTTATGAAAATTCAAATCTTCCATCTTGGACCATGTATATCACTTTTCGTTTAATAGAAATGTCAGAGATGCCAAGATTAATTTTGAAAAAAAGAAATGTATGCCAGGGACTAAAAGGTCATTGTAAGTCGTTACCTTTGAGAAAATTTTGCTGACAAAGATGAAATTTGATCGTTTGAACAATGTTGACACAGATTGGATACCAGGCAGCATCAATAAATCATTATATTTATTTTGGTCTGAATGCGAAACCCACTTATTTAACAACACTTCCAAACGCAAATATCAAAGGTCTTCCCCATTATTTTCTCACACAATGTCATTTGCAATAACCATTTATTTCTCAGTTTTAATTATTTTAACACGACAAAAAATTCATTTTTATTATAATCTTTGATGAAGTGAAATTTGAGATATATGGTAATGACTTTTTAACTTCTCATTGGCTCATAATGACAGTGTGCAATGAGGAAAATCTTTAAAATAAAAATTTAATGTCATTAGCCGTTTTTTTTTTTTTTGTAATGATTCTACTTAAAATTGTTGGAAAAAAAATAATGGGATAATTAAGGAAGACAATGCCATGCAGTGTGCAATGAGAGAACATTATCCTTTTGTTTACCTTACAAAGAGTTCTACATCTTATTTCTTAAAATGATAATGAGATAACGAAAACTTACAAAGAAGTTTTGCCACATTATATGCAACATGATAATCCTTTCAAATTTACATAAGAAAAGAAATGGTGCATCAGCGAACTCTTTAACTGCACCACTTGTAGCACAAAGGTAAGCACTTTTGCCGACAAAGATTAGATTCTTTTGTATCAATTTACAGTTAGAAGATCTGATCAAAGAGAACTTTATCATCAGCTTAGCTTCTTAACTTAAAAAAAGCAGGTCAACTTCACTATAACTTCTTCCTCCAAAATCATTTTTATCCTTGAAGGGTTCTGAAGAGCTTAGATTCGTTTTAGACAAGAGTTCTTAGACTAGATTAATTCCCTAAGCTAGAGCTGTCATTTTCACATTTGATCTATTTTAACTAGAAAATTGTTATTAACTCAAGCAAAAAGTTATATACTATAATTCCTTTTATTTCCTAATACTAAAAATCAGATAGAAAAATAACTGAGAAATAACTATTTCATTAATTACATACTATACATACATCAACGTTAGATTATTCTTTGATATCCTAGCTTGAATATAACAGAATGGGATAAAGCTTTTAACTTCCTTAATCCTTAGACAATCCATCCATCAAGGTTTTAATAGTACCCATCAATTGGTCTAATAACTCTTAGTCCCAAATGGTAAGTAACCTAAAAAGAAGTTGTTTTTCCCCTTTAAGCCTAGTGACTATCACTGCTATAAAAGTTAATAATAACTAGATGAAGGTATAACTTTAAAGATAAATATCAGTTGATTAATCAAGAGAAACTAGAGGAAGGTATAACTTTAAAGATAAATATCAGTTGATTAATCAAGAGAAACTAGAGGAAGGTATATCTTTAAAGATCAGTATCAGTTGATTAATCAAGAGAAACTAGAGGAAGGTATATCTTTAAAGATCAGTATCAGTTGATTAATCAAGAGAAACTAGAGGAAGGTATATCTTTAAAGATCAGTATCAGTTGATTAATCAAGAGAAACTAGAGGAAGGTATATCTTTAAAGATCAGTATCAGTTGATTAATCAAGAGAAACTAGAGGAAGGTATATCTTTAAAGATCAGTATCAGTTGATTAATCAAGAGAAGCCTGGAGATATTATTGTATGATATTGTAATAACATTCACCTTGGCTTGTCACAAATAATTATACTCATATTCTCTCCATTATAATACTTACTTCTTCATTTCCAATAAGACCAAGATACACTGTCAACAATGGCTATAGACTTCCATCCGTAAATGGATTGTAAAGAGGTTTTCTAAAAATTCTTATATGTATCAGGGAGACTGAAAGCATCTATTTGCACCATTCCAATTTTAAGTCGGACGTCCGTGGTTCATGCAATTCTATTAAAACTAAGTGTTTGACAGCATCGCAAAATATGCATCATCACATAAGGAACTTCGCGATCGTCAAACACTTAGTTTAAGTGGAATAGCACAAACCACAGACTTCGAATTAAAAATTAGAATGGTGCAAATTGATGCTATCATTGTCCCATATACATATAAAATATTTAGAAAACCTCTTTACAATTTCACTATGAAATGTGGGTTACATTCTTGTAATCATCAGACCAAACTTTGTAACATTTTAACTTCGTTATTTTCCCTAATTAATGATTTTAATTTAGCGTGATAGTTTAAATTGAAGATCAAGACAGACAGAACACAATAATTCAATATAAGGTAACGACATGATTGGTCTGAAATTAACTTGAACACGAAAACATTCTAATATCAAATGTCGCACTTCACTTTGTGACATAATAATCTCGGCTACATCTTGTAACAATTTAATGATAAAGGGCAATTCTTTAATCAGATGATCGAAGGTCAAGTCTTCCTAGATGGTTGAAGAGGACTAACATCTTCCGAGATGATCAAAGGAGTAAAAAATCTTCGTAGATGATTGAATAAAATTTTCCTTCCTAGATCATCAATGGGAAAGCTAAAGTTATCCCCAATGTTAAACTGGAAACTGATTGGGCAACAGAGGACAAGAAATGTCAGTATCAGTGTACAATGAGGGAAATTTCATTGCACCAACAGTCTTTTTGTAAAGGAATTTTTAATATGACCAGTTCAGTTTATCATGGCCTACTATTTGATACTTGATTGGGCTATACTTCATGGAGTGGCAAGGGAAATTTCCTTTAAATTCAAAGTACATTAACTATGGTTATCTCTCTAGTTATCCAGACATGCGTTATGATATAGACTACTACCCTCGGCACTCTCTGACTGAGTTTATAACACACTGTAATAATTATAGACTAGAATAACCAGTGTAATTAACTATAACATAGATTACAGAATAAGCTTTAAATAAAATTATAAAATGTGTGTCTGTTTTTTTTTTAAGTGAATGAAATTCTTTGTTTATTTTTCATAATTTACTTTATTTGAAAGAATCAATGAAAATGAAAGAACTTCATTGTGTTTTTTTAATTTTTATAGAAATTCTTGGAACTTTTCTGTTTCCTATTGGACTAATGAAAGCAGGTGTCAGGAAGGTTACAAAGATGAAAATTTGTCCAAGGGTGGCATTAACTTTTTTTTTCAGATTTCTTTGACTAAAAACTAGGAGGTGGCGAAAATAAATGACGTTTTGATCATCTAAAGAATAAATTGACCAATAGGCTCTAACCATGGCTTAAAATGATTTTTTTTTTGTAGAGAGGAAAAACAACATGAAATAAAAGTCATACAGATGATATTTTCTCACTTACTTGTAAAGTTTGTGTCTTTTGAAAAGTTCGATGGCATCATAGACTTTATGACAAGCGAGAAGATATGTGGAGCTCTTGTGGTACTGTCCATCATCTTCTAATTGTCTGGCGTAATCTTCACACGCTGTCAGCCACATTTCATAAGAACCTGGAATCAGAAAGTTATGAAGTTCAAGCAAGAACAACTACTGAAGAAAGGATATCATGTCCCTTTAGGCCGATCAGTGATAGATGCTCAGTCTCTTTTTAACACCTCTATCTGTGTCAGATGGTTTAAGGTTTAAGAGAGTTCACATAGATTTGTGCACCCATTCCACTGACCTTATGATATGGTATATATAGTTTCTCATATATATCCTTTGTATGTACACAAAGTAAAAACACACACCCACGAATGCAAAAATCTTGCAATTACAAAAGTAAAGAAAGTGGATCACAGCCATATACGCCCACCACGGCATGCGGATGGTAAATATTCAGGATTTTGGGGCAAGGGCAAAAACTCTGCTTATAATGGTCGAAAATAGCTCAAATTCGAACTTGATCTTCCTTTTATGAATATGTATACACATACCGAATTTCATTTGATTCCATCAAAATTTTTTCAGAGCGTTTACAAGCAAATGTTGACTGACGGACTGAAAAATCATGGAGAAATTCTATACTTAGAGAAAATTTAGCATAGAATATTTTATGAAAAACAGGAGTCTGAGCACTATAGTACTTCAGTTTAGATTAAAATAGGGTTCATCTTCTATTAGTACAATAGTCAATAATAAACTCTAGTTTATGTAACTGGTTCATTGAAGAAAGTGATAGTTTTATGTAAATATTAGATAATATCCAGATTATTAATGATCCAATCGGATATCTCAAACTTCCTGTCAATACGAACCAATAACAGGAAATCTCCCATAAAAATCAACCTACAGGTCATGTCCTCAGATGCTGGCATGAAAGTGGAATTTCGAAATGTAGGTCATATCAATGAATTTGAAGCTATTTAAGCGTATTAGGTAGGTAGATGACATGTTAACATTCGCTTCCAGTGGATGCTGATATCTCAAACTAGGTAGTTGTTGGTAGTTGGATTGGACTTTTTAAGCATATTAAAGGGACATTCCCTATTAAATCAAGTTTTCAAATTCAGACCAACCAGAACTAATTACTACTAGAAAGCTCAATGGTCAATACAATAACATTAACCAATCAAAATTCTTATTACAGGTTATGATTATATGTGATTATGTGATGTTTCTGACAAGCTAGAAATCTGATTGATTGGTTGATATTGGTATAGTGATATTATTAACCAGAGTTCTTATCTAAATGAACAGAAAAGCGAGCTTACCTAGAGGTGCCATGGAGACCAACCAATCAGAAAGCTCGTCTCGTTCACGTGCTATCTGTAATGCTCCACGTATGTTGCCCTTCCATATTTCCATTTGTAGATAATATTCCATGTTCTCATTCTTCTCGTGGTACTCTCCTGAAAAAGAGTCCCAAAAATAATCAAATATGGCCGACAGGCGGTGATCAAACAATATATTATGTAGTCGATCAAGATATCATTTAAGAAGTAATTGATGTGTAGCAACTATATGAAACTTTTACTCAGCTTACTCATGTAGACTGACCATTCAACTTTTAATTTCCCACATTATTCCGAAAACTGTTAAGACTTCATGTATATTTTCAAAATATTTACACTCTAAAAATAAAAACCGATTTAGTGGAACAATATCCTGACTCAAATAAGACGAAAAAATCCTGTTATCCAAATCAATCAAGTACTCTACTTGTTAAATATTACACATTCTTAATCTTCAATTTCCCTTTTTTATGGCTTATGATTTATTTTCTAATCAGAACAAAATTTACATTGGCATATTTTTAGAATTCCAACTGATCTCAGTTTAATTCTTCCAATCGTCGAAAAAGTTTGCGTCTGCCTTCTTTTTAGAATTTTGAATTCCAGGAATCTTTAACATGCAAAGCCTGTAGAACATGGAACCATTGTCTATTGTCCCTTGCACTATTATCTAAATCAGCCCTCGCAACATTTTTCTCTGAATCAATGAGAGTTGAATATCCTGCCTACCTACCTACTTGTAGCTATCTAATAAACTTATAAAAGATTATCTGCTATCATGACAAGTGTCTATAATTTTCTATTTTAGACAAGAACTAATCGTTAAAACTATTAACAATCAATACAAGCTGTAAATTCCCTCAAGAATCTAGTCTGTTGTCTCTAGGTTCAGTATCCTGTCTTGTTATGCACGCACCTAATCCCTGCGTTGAACTTCGTAAATTAGTCTATGTAACAGTTTTGACTCGATTATGCAAGGTGTTACCGCATTAACATGGTTAAAAAAATCCATACAACACAATTTTTCAAAAATATTTCACAAGTCAATGATTTAGAATGCCTATTCAAATTAGATAAAAATAATAGTATATATATTCAAAGCACTGAGCCTTTTTTACATTGAGCTTTGTACTTCCTACTTATCGTAACTTTTTATTTTAAAGTGAATGAAGATTAATCAGAGATATAATAAATATAAGGTCAATGTCCTTGAGTTCAATGTCTTATAGACTACCTTATTCAAGTGACAAATGCACTCACTGTGGGTTATCACAGACGAGCTCGAGCTCGTCCTTTTTTTTGAGCATTTAAAGTTGGGTTCCCTTATGAAAATGAAAATGATAATACTTATATGAATAGAAAGTAGAGGTATTCTTAGGACTAAGAAAAATACCAGTTTGTCTCACATGTCCATAATTAATTCATAAATAACTAAATTAGAAGAGAATTACCAGCAGTATTCCAATGAGTGACCGATCAAGAAAGGTCAAAAAGTATTTTTTGTTTATCCAGACTGTACATAACAATGACATTTATGATTGGTTAAAACTCTTGGTAATATGCAATAAAAACATAATGATATGATTAAGAATACATCACAATTCCTTAGAAACACCAATAAATCAAAAAGTTTGATTAATTTGGCTCTAAAAAATAAGGAAACCCATCTTTAATTCTAAGAAAATTTCAATTTATTTTACATTTAGGAGGAGAACACAGGATTAATTATATATTTACACACCACAATCTGTGAGTCAAGTTTATAAACCCTAAAAAATATATAATTTAAATCGAAAAAGAAAAATTTCAAAAGAAATGTATCAGCTAAAAAAAAAAACATTTTCTAAAACTACTTGGCACACATTTATTTCTTTCTCTGTTTTTTCTACAAAACTAAAATACATTTGGCAGGTTTTCAAATTTTAAATTTATACTTAGAAACACATAATTACAATTTTACCAACACATTCTGTGGTCTGCTATTGCCGAAAGAATCATTTTTTCAAAAAGATGGTGATTTGCTTTGAAAGCTAACAGAATGAACAATGACTCTGGGGGAGAGTCTTGCTCGGAAGTTACAGTTAATTTATATGTAAATAGTCTTCAGAAGTACTAGAAATGTATGAAAATCGCATAACATGAAGAATAATCTTAAAGAATTTTGTCCACCAGCAAGCAGTTATCACTATATATTCTTATCTAACAATCATTTCCACAAAAACAAGCATTGACCCTAACCCTTTTCATGCACCTTAGTCTCTGCTTTTGGCAATAAACAATCAAATGCCATTATTCAGAAAGCATTATTTATCATCTAATGGAACATAAAAGATCAGTAACTTGTTAACTCCAGCCATCTCTTTGATGATTTGATATAATTATCAAGAAAGCTGTCAGCTCGTTTTTTATACTAAATTAGACCTAATTTACCAGTGATTTATCTACCAAGACCACTTTTACCATAATTGGACATAACTAGCAAAAGAAAAACTGTCAACGGATACCATATTTCTCAATTCTTAAAAGATATCTGAACAGAAACTGGTCATTTAAGGCCAATTTTCAAATTCCTAGAGCATAATTGAGGTCATTTTTCAAATATCTCACAATTAATTGACATGACAGTAGTCAAGACAGGCTATTTATCACTATAATTCTTACCCTGTATTCTTGAAATGATCTTAGCGCTAGAATGTCCTAGGTTCTTATCTAACATTGATCTCTAAGATCGTGAGCCAATGGGGCCTGGCCAATAATTGGTTTAATAGGGCTGGACTCTGATATAAAATATCTTTCCGATCTTGACCAGTCTTTCCTTTGCCTCCATACTAGTAGTTATCATTATTAAGACTCCCAGGTAGTGAACCATTTTTTCATCCCCTGGGGGTATAAGATGAGGGTGACAGGGGTGGGGCAAACTTATGGTAGAATTTTGTTAATGTTGAGAGTGCATCTCACATCTTAAGTTTTGGTGATATGAAAGGTTGCTCCAGGGATGTGATGCTGAAAAAGGTTGGGAACCTCAAAAAGATCTTGCCAGGACAGCAGCATGAACCTACTCTTTTTTCGATTTCCAACTATCGATGTATCTTTAATGTGCACAGCCTTAAGCACACAGGACCTAAGTTTATTGGTATCAGAGAAACAACTTTGATGCTTTGTCCATGTCAGCCACTCTCAAGGGGGAAACCGGGTTGAGTCACTTAGCCACCGAGGCCCCCTCAGTCATGTTGAAGAGATGACAGGTTCCTTTAAGTTCAAAAGGTTAGGAGAGGAATATGAACATCTCTGTGGGAACAGATCACTATTAAACTATTTATATAAATAAAGCTTACATCAGACCAGGCAATAACATGTTTTATTAACCCCTAGTTATAAAACATTACAACTCAAACAGTTATAACAGGGGTTAATAGTTCAAATATTTACATGGTTATAGCTATATAACTGTCACCCTTTTTATTTTATGGTATACTGAAAGTTCATTTTGAGTTTTAAAACAAATTGTCCTGATGGTTAAATCAAACCCACTAGTCCTGGGAACTAGCCCAATCAAAAACACTAGTCCTGGGAACTAGCCTATACTCTTCAGTCTAATCAAAAACACTAGTCCTGGGAACTAGCCTATACTCTTCAGTCTAATCAAAAACACTAGTCCTGGGAACTAGCCTATACTCTTCAGTCTAATCAAAAACACTAGTCCTAGGAACTAGCCTATACTCTTCAGTCTAATCAAAAACACTAGTCCTGGGAACTAGCCTATACTCTTCAGTCTAATCAAAAATAAATTCTTTTTCCAACGCTGGGATTTTGGGACACGAACAAAATATGAAATCAGTGTCAATCAATTTCCAGAATGTACTTTTTGTTCATGTCACAAAAAATCTTAGCATTGAAAAGGGAAGAAATTTGATTGGCTGGCTGAATCAGCTTCAATGTTCAAGAGGCCCATCATTAGGCCCTAACTGAAGTGGCTAAATTAAAAATAAAAGCTAAAAAAAAATGTAATTTTGGACTAATTTTGATTAGGATTTAAGCACAGCCTGTAGCACACATGGCCTCAAATAGGTAATATGGAAAAACCTATAACATCATACAGTGGACAATGAAGGAAACTTTGAACACTGGACACCAAGAATATCAAGGAAGAGTCCAACTCAATAGCCACCTCAGTAAGCCGAGGAAAATTGATCTCTATCTAAACACGATAGAAAACAATCTATTTCTGTTAAAAAAGAGAAGTCCAAATCAATTAAAAACCTATTTTCAGACAAGTGAACTGATGTAGGTGAAATATCAGGTCTTTACAGAGTTATAATCTATTATTTCTTATCTTAAAGGGACATATTCGCTTTTTCCAGGGAGTGATTTGGGTCTTGAGTGTATGTAAATAATCATCATAAGTACTATAATGTACGGAAATCACATAATTCCTTCAAAAATACCTCAAACTTGGAATTTCTTTCTTTTTCTATACATGTCTTTTCTATACATGTCTTTCTTTTCTATATATGGCAGGGTCTCTAGAAAAGAGGTGTCGACTTTTGAACTTTTAATTGTGAATAATTATGGATACAGATGGAATTGAAAGCCCAAATTTCGACCATGAGCTGTGAACACTATTACTGATTGGTTTGTCTAAGATATTCCAGTTTCTAAGATTAAAGTATGATTGGTCAAACGGATGGTGAGCCTGTCCCCTTTAGAGGGAATGTAAAGAGACTTTGTATGAGTATCAGGGACACAGATAGCATTGGTTTGCCCCACACCAGTTTTCAGTTAGACATCTATGGTTTTTGCAATTCCTCTTAGAGTTTCAATATGTCACTATCACAAAAGTCCCATGATATCATTAGCTGGTTTAGTGACAGACATCATACTGTTTAGAATTTCTATAATTACTGTAATCACAGACTTTGTCAGACAATTGGAATTGAAGCCATAAATGGTCCTTTTACACATAAAAATCGTTTTGACATAACTTTTCTATAAACATACTTCAGTCTGCAATGAGGGAAACTGTTATTCCCTACTGTTTACACTTTATTGGGTTAAAATTCATGTTCAATCACAACTTGTCAAAGTTTGTACTATGTCATAAATAAAACATCAAATTACATTTTCTCTCTCGAAAAAAAAATTAATTTAGATTTTTCCGAAAATACAACACGACCTGTCAATCATTTGAAATTTTTATGAGACATTTCTTTCCCTGGTCTTAATTACTTTCCTTATATGGAAATGACATAATTTGACAAACGCTTTATCTATTGTCTTGGCACTTTCATCTGTAAATTGAATTTCACCGATTTTTTTTTCTTGAAGCAAGAACAATTTATTTTCTCATTTTCCAGATCTTCTTACCAAATTTTTCAGAAATCAGAAAAAAAATGATATCAGCTTCACCGGAAAAAACAACCTTAATTCCCAATGAAACAAATAACCATCATCAGAAGCTCCCATATGAAAACATATGATTTCTTGATGAAATCATTACTGAAAAAGTGGGAAAATCCAGGCCACATATTCTCGGAAGTCCTAGAATCAATGTTAGACGATAAGAACCTAGGATGTCCTAGAATCTAGTGATAGAAGATAAGAACCTAGGATATCCTAGAATCAATGTTAGAAGATAAAGAACCTAGGATGCCCTAGAATCAATGATAGAAGATAAGAACCTAGGATGTCCTAGAATCTAATGATAGAAGATAAGAACCTAGGATGTCCTAGAATCTAATGATAGAAGATAAGAACCTAGGATGCCCTAGAATCTATGACAGAAGATAAGAACCTAGGATGTCCTAGAATCTAATGATAGAAGATAAGAACCTAGGATGTCCTAGAATCAATGTTAGAAGATAAGAACCTAGGATGCCCTAGAATCAATGATAGAAGATAAGAACCTAGGATATCCTAGAATCAATGTTAGAAGATAAGAACCTAGGATATCCTAGAATCTAATGATAGAAGATAAGAACCTAGGATGTCCTAGAATCAATGTTAGAAGATAAGAACCTTGGATATCCTAGAATCTAATGATAGAAGATAAGAACCTAGGATGTCCTAGAATCTAATGATAGAAGATAAGAACCTAGGATATCCTAGAATCAATGTTAGAAGATAAGAACCTTGGATATCCTAGAATCTAATGATAGAAGATAAGAACCTAGGATGTCCTAGAATCAATGATAGAAGATAAGAACTTAGGACATCCTAGCGCTAAGATCGTTTCGAGAATAAGTGGCCTGGCTTTCCGAAAGTTTTTATTTTCTCTCCCACACTTCAGACTAATTTAGTCTTGTTTTATTTAATTTTTTCCCTCCAGCCTTTTAGAATTTAAGAAAAAATCTGTAAAATAAGAAAATAATAAAGGCGGGACTGAATCTTTTATTGAACTCTTCAACACATGCATACCTTCATATCATATCAAATTGTATAAGTATGATTAGAAGAAGCTCATCTGTAAAATCAGGTCTATTTCATTGTCCGATTAGTTAGATCCAGCCTTGCTGATAGATGGCCTCAACTGGTACCACAATACAGTCGAGAGGGGTAGGCCAGTTTTGTTGGGCTTTCTGAGACTAAACTTTGTATATCAGAATTGGGAATTTATCCAATGAATAATCAAACATCAAGATTAATCAAAGTTTTATTGAAATAAATACATCATAAATAATAATTAAATAATGACAGAAAATGTTTGTGGTTTTGACAGAGAATTAAATAGCCTACCAATTTATCTCTGAAATTGAATTTGATGGAGATCACTTCCCCTGAAGCTGGCATATTACTGAATTAATAAATTCAAATATTTCTTCTATTATAAGAAATTCTGCTATTAATATACCAATATAATAATTATTCCAGCAAATAAGTCCTAACCATTTTCAATTAATTTCACAAAAAATATGCCTAATTCATCCAAAAATTAAATTTCTATTTCTCCAATTTTGAGAACACAAATTCTACTAACATTAATTTCACAAATTACTTTACTCAAAATAGAAATGGAACAAAATTTCACCTTTCTGCTTTTAATACTTTCAATTATACCAGATGTTTCAATTCCTCATTCACTTTGTTTTAATTTGAAGCATACGAAACTTTCACAAATTAGAATCAAATGTTTTTTCTCAGTCAAAATTTCACCACCATTTTAAAATTTCTGATTTCCACCATTAATTTGGACCATCCATAATCTTCTGAATAAATTCCTCATATTTGATATTTCCTTCTAGATCCTCTCTCGTGTCTGTAAACTTGATGATCTCGTCTACTTCTGCATCTGTCATCCTATCACCCAGTGAAACCAAAACTTGTCGCATTTCTGCAGATGAGATGAAACCTTGACCTTCACGATCAAAAGTTTTAAAAGCTTCTTTGAAATCAGCGAAGGTGCCAGTGTCCTTGAGAGTCGTGGCACTTTCGTAGATTGGTAAAAATTCTTCTAGTTTGTAAGCCTTCTCACCCATAGCTTTGGTACCGCCATTTTTCTTGACAAAGGTTTCGGTTGGGTTGTAACCAAGACATCTCAACATGTCGCCAGTTTTGAATGCGTCAACATCACCATCACGGCCATCCCAGAAATCAAATAAATCAAAAACTTCACGGATATCTTCTACTGTATCTTTTGATAAGGAAGACATTTTGTTACTGTTTTGTCGCTTTCAGATTCTGGAATTCTTTATGCTGGTAGCTGCTTTCAAGTTCCAATTTCAGAAAAGGTAGTTTGGTTGGTTGGTCTGTTTTCAATGTAACTACAATCTGTTTCTTTATTTGGTTCAAGTGCTGGATTCTTCTGTTGAATGGTACAGATTTTAAACTTGTTCAACCAATAACTACTAGTTTCAACTAGGTGTTTGATGAGGGTTTCTACCCTTTACCTGGTCTCAGTAAGGATGTTGTATCTTGCAGCACCAAGCTAATACTGATTCTGTGAATGCTGTCTCAGCTTTTATAACCAGAATCTTCATGCAATCTTCTGATTGGTTGATGATAAGATCAGGTATCAAATGAACCAATCCTTTTCAAGATATCAGAAAAGAACTATTAAGGGCAAGTTATACTCTATCCCCTACCAGGGGTCCAACATCTGGAATCAATTTATCAAATCCTATCATGATAATCTTAGTGTTCTTATCACTGATTGGTCAATCATCAAATGTTGATTACCAATCTGGTTAAATGAACCAATCAAGGCTGTATTTTCCTAAAAACTAAGCTCCTGGCCCTTAAAGAGATATTATCAGTAATTCAAGGCACCCAGCATGCTTTAGATGTAATGATATATATATACAGTGAAACCCTCTTCATACCGTGTCATACCGACAGACCAATGCAATAATATACAATAATTAATAAATAACATGCTTATAATTAGCCAATATCAACAACAACAAAAAGATTGTGTTGTAAAGGGACACAATTAGAATCGATTTGCACAATTCCAATTTTCAATCAGACATCTTTGGTTATTGAAATTCCACTAAAACTGAGCCTTTTTTGACATTACTAAAACAAAATGCATGCATTACATAACGCCCTGCGCAATTATTGATTTCATCAAATACTTAGTTTTAATGGAGTTGTAGACACCACAGAAGTCTGATTGAAATTTGGAATGGAGTAAATAGATACTATCAGTGTCCTCGATGCACAATTAAATTTAGAAAACCTCTTTACAATCACTTTAAGAACTATTATCAATAATTGAAGGCATCCACCAGGCTGGCTATACATGTAATTCTATATAATTAATAATACAGATGTTGGCATACTAATATAATTACACAATCTATAATCAAATTACATGCTTTTAATTAGCTAGTATCAACAAAACATAGGATATGGTTACATATTTACAGACTATAAATTATTATGGTTCATTTAATTCAATGACATAAAAAGAGAACTTATTGTGGTTATAAAATTAAAGTATGCTCGGGTCTTCTCACAGAAAGTATACTTCTGATGAGTGTGGTTTTAATTTAGGTTTTTTTTTTGCAAATTAGATTACCATATTTCTTCTGGATTTTATAATTAAAGGGATTGTAAAAGAGTTTTCTTAACTTTTTATGTGTATCAGAGACACTGAAAGCATCAATTTGCACCATTCCAATTTTTATTCCGACACCTGTGGTTCTTGTAATTCCACTAAAACTAACATGTATTACGACGTCACTAGACGGGAAATGCATAGATATTAATAGTAGCTTCCAGTAGTTCCCCTCTAGTGATGTCATAAAAGACATTAGTTTTAGTGGAATTGCAAGAACCACAGGTGTCAAAATGAAAATTGGAATGGTGCAAATTGAAGCTATCAGTGTCCTCGATACACATAAAAAGTTTAGAAAACCTCCTTACAATTCCATTTATTCCCTGAAGCTACTAAGCTCACTTGAGTCAGTTGATCTGCTTTCAATTTTAGAAAAGGTACGTTTGGTTGGTTGGTCTGTTTGTAATGCAAAAGTCTTCCTTGTAACTGCAATCTAAGTGTTTTCTCAACTCAGATCCCAAAGAAGAATAAACAATTATCCATCCTTAGTCTGTCTATAAACAATATTCTAATTATCAACTTTACTAGTTAATATTTAATTAATTAACTCATTCCAACCATATAATCTTCTCAGGATTAATTTGTCAATCTGATTAGAAATGTAGATCTGGTTCTTTCATTTTGTGTTTTTGTGTTAGATTTTCTCGATCTTGAAATTCCAACAAAACTTTTATTGTGTCACTATCGCAAAAGCTGCATAACATCACAAGGCCTTTGTGATAGTGTCTACACAATACGCTTTAATGCAATTACATAAACCACGGACGTCTGACTTTAAATAGAAATGGTGCAAATAGATGTTCTTTATGTCCCTAATACGATTAAGTTTAGAAAATCTCTCCACAATCATATCTAATTTATTTTCTTAATGTTACCATAGCCTATTATTACACAAAAGAAATCAAACTTCAATAGAAACCCGATCTTTCAATTTTTTTTAATAAAGCTGAAAATTTCTATTCAAATTGTTCTAGTTGAGTTGAACAGGAAGATTGTCACTGTGAATTTCTGACACCAGTGAGTTTTGACGCGTTAATAATAGAGAGAGCTATAAAGATGAAATCTTAGAAATAGCGACTTAATAGAATGATATGAATATGTGCCAAATATATAATATCTTAAAGGCCACGATTCGCCATTTTCAAGGGTTGATTTGGGTCTTGAAAATATCTAGTCTTCTCATACCTCTAACTAGAAATTTCTATATGTAATTTCCATGTATGCCTGAGTCTCAAAGAAAGACGAATCGTCATTTTAACTTTTAAACTCGGATCATTCTGGACACACACAGATTTGACGACAAGCTGTGAACACTAATTACTAATTAGCTGAGCTAAGAATTTCATTTTCTGAGACTAAGCTGAGATTGATTAAAGGGACAGGGAACCTGTTGTTAGTGGAAGGATCAAATGAAACGTCCTAAGTGTCTATTAGAGCTAATGGCATGGTGTGTGCAATGAGGGAACTTTGCCAGGACACTAGCATTAGCTTTTTCTTGTTTGTGTTCCAACTATTGAGAGATCTTTTAACAAGCACAATCTGTAGCACACAGGGCCTTACATTGTCTTAATTAACCGTCACAACCTATACATCTATATGGAACCCAGGACCTTCAGTTTAGAAAGCTAATGTCTAAGTCACTGAACTTCAGCTACTTCAAGAGGCAAAATCAAAGAGGAACGTCTTCAATCAACCCATCAAATTAGCCTTATACCATTGATATACACATTATATAAAACAAATCTATGCTGACATTTCCTTTATAAAATGATTATATAAATTCTTTAACAAAAAAAAACAACATCCTTACCTCCTTGAAACTAAAATCTCAACTGTAAGTAACTTTAATATAATATACATTATATATCTTATTTTACTTCTCTCAGTTTATTGTATAGGCTCTCGTAATACCAGGCCTAATCTTTTATAACTGTAGTAGGTGTCCCCAACACAGCAAGGGCGTGCTCGTCTTTTCAGAACACCTTATATCAATATGCTTTTTAAATTGTCAACTGTGTATATATATAGCTTATTGTGTTAAGTTCTTATTCTCTGACATCTAAGCTCTATTTATAATGAATACTGTTGTTAAAGTCTCACCATCTCTAGAACACCTCACAACAATGTGTTTATCAATTTGTCAATTCTACCAGGCCTAAGCACTTCAATTTGTCAATTTTACTGTCCTGGATGTCCTTGACACAGCAGAGTCTGCTGTGCTCACTCTTTCAGGACACCTCATTTCATTGTGCACTTCAGTTTACAACTCAACATTCCATTTAGTACATTTATGATTCATAAATATCAACAAACTTAAAGCCTAAATATAGAAGTTTATGTGTAATTTTCTGCAAAGCACTCTATCCTCCACAAAATAACTAAACACTGTCTGAATTGAACAATGAGGTAAATTTTGCAAAGGACAATACTGGTAATTTGCCCTCTTTTTCAACTTCTAACTATTTCAAAAACTGTAATATCTGCAGCCTGTAATTTCAAGAAGCCTCACCAAAGAAAAAAAAAAGAAAATATCTCAAAATCTATCTCTTATCTTGAAAAAATGCACGGGTGAACAATTTCCCCCCCATGTCAAAATTCGGAATTTCCTCACCTTGTAAAAGAATATAAATGCTAACACCTTACTTCCTTGATAACATCTATCCTAGTTTAAAATAGCTGGTTATCTTTCACTGACTGAATCGTTAACATACATTCAGTGAATGACATAAAATAACTAATTACTGTTCCCACGCAGTGTGTGAAGAACTCTTATATTCTATACTACTGTGGTTTATGGTAATGACACTTGAAAATATTAAAACAGAACCTGAAACATGTTGTAACTCAGAGTTCCACTCAATGTATGAAGAACTCTTTTATTCTATATCACTGTGGTTTATGGTATTGAGATATAAAATAAACCTTAATATAACAAAACCTGAAACATGTTGTTAGTCTTATGGTGTGTAGCTATATCGCTCTACAATTGATGTATTGAGCACTATTTCAACAGTTGTATTTCTATATAACTCTACAATTGATGTATTGAGCACTATTTTAACAGTGGTATTTCTATATCACTCTACAATTGATGTATTGAGCACTATTTTAACAGTGGTATTTCTGTATCGCTCTACAATTGATGTATTGAGTACTATTTTAACAGTGGTATTTCTATATCGCTCTACAATTGATGTATTGAGTCCTATCTTAATAGTGGTATTTCCATATCACTCTACAATTGATGTATTGAGCACTATTTTAACAGTGGTATTTCTATATCACTCTACAATTGATGTATTGAGCACTATTTGAACAGTGGTATTTCTATATACTCTACAATTGATGTATTGAGCACTATTTTAACAGTGGTATCTGTATATAGCTCTACAATTGATGTATTGAGCACTATTTTAACAGTGGTATTTGTATATAGCTCTACAATTGATGTATTGAGCGCTATTTTAACAGTGGTAGTACTATATCGCTCTACAATTGATGTATTGAGCACTATTTTAACAGTGATATTTCTATATCACTCTACAATTGATGTATTGAGCACTATTTTAACAGTGGTAGTACTATATCGCTCTACAATTGATGTATTGAGCACTATTTTAACAGTGGTATCTGTATATAGCTCTACAATTGATGTATTGAGTACTATTTAAACAATGAAAATATTTTTCATTGTATATCAATATATCAAAATTATAAAAAAGAGCCTGAAACATGTTACCAGAGTTTTACATGTTTCAAATTTTTAATATATTGAGCACTACTTTAACAGTGAAAATATTGCTTTGTTTTTTCTATCTTTACATACCACAGAAATAACAACGGAAGGCAATAATCTTTATTCTTACATTGTCATAATAAAGAACCAGTGCAAGGAAAAAAGGTCTTATATAATCATTATGAAACATGTACTTGTCAGATAAATTTAGATATGACCTTAAATATTTAATATTTATAGCAACAAGTATGACACCTAATATCTTTAAAGATCATCAGTAAGCTCAGTCAAAATAGTTCAGATACGCCACAATAATTCAAACATTTAAAGGTATTGTAACAGGATTTCTAAAATTTTTCATTTGTATTGGGGACACTGATAGCATCAATTTGAACCATTCCTATTTTCAAACATCTGTGATTCCTGCAATACCACTAAAACTAAGTGGAATTAGTGGAATTGCAGGAGTCACAGATTTCTGATTGAAAATTGGAATGGTTCAAATAGATGCTATCAGTTTCCCAGATGCACATTAAAACTTTAGAAAAACTCTTTAATATCATTTTAATGTAAGTCAAAATTGACTAATTTAGGCCCTGTAAAAGATAATCCTACCCTTATTATCCTGAACATAATTTTACCCTGAACATAACAAATATTACCCTGAACATAATAAATATTACCCTGACCATAATAAATATTACTCTGAACATAATAAATATTACCCTGAATAAAATATTACCCTGAATAAAATATTACCCTGAAAATGATAAATATTACCCTTACCTTAAAAATATAATCCTAGCCTCTACAATTCTTATTACATTCTATTATAGAACATAAAGAAAATAACGTGGGTTTCGAGTACTCTATACACTAAGGCAGTATTGATCATTATCACTATAAATATATATATTACTCTAGTTCTCTGTATATTTCTAAGCCTACATGTTATTATTTACCGCAGTAGTTCAGTCATGGCCAGGTCACTCACTGTCTTCATAATATACAATAACACTACAAAATCAGGTCACAATTCACAAATAATATGTAAATAATACAGGTTAAATAAGGTCATGTGGATAATGAGGTCGAGTCGTGCTATATATAGTAACTAGAATGAGTTTACAATAACAGTGGAAATCTTATAGATTTTTTCCTTAACTACATGAACAAATCATCAATCTACAAAAAACATCTCGGCACAAATCTGTTTTCACCAAATTTATTCTTCATTTTATTATCAATTAGTTCATGCCATTATAGGCCTATTTCAGTAGAGATCTTTATAGATTTTTCCCCCACAATTCTACCAGATACCGAACTCTGAGAAATTCCTACACACGTTTCAAGGCCAACATTTCTAAAGACTAATTAACAGCTGTTCTATCACCAGACATCTATCAATGTTTGAGCATTCAAACTGATGCCAGGCCAAACCATAAATTAATCTATTTTGCTTCCATTTTTTTTTTCGAAAGACAAAATTGCAGGATGTCAAATTCTTTGGCAATATTTAGTATTTATTCAAAGACATTTAAATCCAATTCTTAATAAAATTCTTAATAGTTGAAAACGAGAAATTTGGATGTTTTTCATCAAAACAACATTTTCATTTTTCTAACCCAGAATAGTGTAAAACCCACTAGTTTTCATGTCTATTTTGATCAATATCAAGACAATGTATTATTTTACATCTCAAAGTAATGATTTCTATTTTATAAGATTAAATTTCAGCTTTTATACCTTATCCTTCTTAACACCTTTAATTCTAATAATGTTTTCTAATTATAGAACCTTGTGGAATTCTATAACAGGAGATTTCTGGCAGAAATAATCCTGAAATTGATTCTTTAGTTCTCGCAGGATTAGGCACATTGGTTACAGGATTAGAAACAGCACTAATCCAAATTCCACTATTAAAGAAGATATGGTCACGTTAAATACAGAAAATTACAGATAATTCCAAAGGTCAGTCTCAAATACACTTAAGCAATTCTATCACTGCTTTATCCAGTCCAACTAGCAGCTAAACAAATTATTATCCAAAAAAAACTACAAATAATACAACTGTAAGTAAACATTGAATATACAGGGATTCTGTTGTATATTCACGACACCAGGTAAGTCCACTGATGAATATAATTGCTTATCAGGCAAGTTCACTAGAAAACAATTAACCAATTGATTGCATGGTGAGCAGTTTGGAGAACAAGTTAATGAAAAAAAAGGCTTTTAAGGTGGAATTTAAATGTATAAAGTTTGCCTTACCTTCGCGTTTCAGACATCTGAATGCTGCCCGTCTATTGGTGTAGAGACCGAAATTATTCGTATCCGTAGAATGAACTTCTGTCTTATTCTTTTCACCTATAATTACAAATAAAATAAGAGTTTTACATCCAGTTCTGTTTATCAGGCAAAACTACAGGATTACAACAGAAAATTTTTTTAAAACTAAATGGAAAATCTTCGCCTAAATTTACAAATAAAATGGGGAGTTTTACGTCCAGTTCTGTTTATCAGGCTAAAATACAGGATTACAACACACTAAACCTTTTAAGGTAAATTGAAAATCTTCATTTTAATATATTGTCTTTAATATATTAATCTACAAGGAATAAAAATCTAATAAGTTCTTAAAGACCGTTGCTAACTTCTACCTGTAAATTTTATTTATTTGTGGACAAGCCAAATCTCATATTTAGATTCTGAAAAGTGATCAGGATAACTGAAATTGAGCTCTCATAAATGTAGCAAATACTTCTGGTGCCGGAACACGTTTTTTGTCATCGACTCAAGAATCGAGTCGATGACAAAAATCGTGCTTCGGCACCATAAGTTCAATTTTGATTCTTGAGTAAAATATCACATATGTCTGTGCTTCCATGACAAGATTATCAAAACAGTTTGATATTTGTCGCAGATTGTTTTATCATCTGAAAGACAGAGTGTCATTGATCAGATATATTTTCATCTCAATTGCATGATCCGCACGTGATTATCGACATAGTGGAAAACAACTAACAAGACTCTAGTCAGGGACAAAAATTGCTGAACAAAACCGGTCGTGTGCCTCCACCACTAGCTGACTTCAGTCCTTTGACTACAGATTCTTAAAAAAGACTGTCTGACAATAACTTACTTTCACGTGTTTTGTTACCTTCATTAACAAAGTCACTATCATCCAGGCTTTCATGATCTTTATTCTCTGCAGATGAAGAAATAAGCTGCTCACAATCTGATTGGTTCATTTAAAACTCAAATTTCAAAACTTCAAAAATCATAAAACTTCGCAAAACTCCTTAAAACCAAATCCTTTCAATATCAACCTCAAAATGAGTATAACAATGTTTACTATTATTTACTATATCTTATTAGGGGTCCTTGTTATCAAATTGTGTTCCCGTGACATACTGACCTAGTGACCTTATCTATGATGTCATAACAAGGCCAATAAATGAGAATACAAGTTAGGAATGTAAACAAAGTTATCAAAATTGAAATTATCAATTTTCGAAGGCCACTGTCACTGGTACACCTAAACTAACCTCAAGTTCCTACAGGAACCAGTATTCTTCTTATATATTTCAGATTTTCAACATTATGGATCACTACTTTACTTGTGTTATGTATTACAATGATTAGCTAACTGCACAAACAATACTCTTTCACTGGAGTATTGCCTACACGCCTGTGTTTGTGCTTTGCTTTACCACAATATTACACCCTAGAATTCCAATTACAATCTCAAAATCACAGTCCGGACCCATGTGGCTTTTGACTGGAACATGTGTAATTTATGCAGTGTGCAATGAGGATTAAGAAAAGTATTATAACAAAACCAAGGTGTCACTTTCCACCATATATGCATATTCATAAATCATAGTCCGCCCCCTTTAAAACTGTCTACTCTAGTGACCTGCTGACCTACTTAACAATTTCATCATCATGATAATTTACACCATAAATAAAACAGATAGTCAAAATACCACATATCATATACAGTTGTTATCTTTGAGGAAAAGCTTTCAAACCAGCAAGGTAAAGTTACATTGTTGATGACTTGATGGCATCACTGATATCATTAAAATAAACTCAAGATAATTCTTAGACAGATAATTCAGCCCTTAACTTCAAAAACATGAATTTACAACATTGTATTATTTTAGAGGTCACAAGCTTATTAAGTACAGAAAGGTAAATTATACCCCAAATAAATAGGTCATACACTTAGCTCATACCACACTTCAGGCTGATATTTTAATTGCTATCAAGTAACAAAAAAGGCCCTGAACTCTAATTGTTATGCACTTTTATTTGGAGAACTGGTAGTTGAAAATAATACATTTAATTATATACTAAGCATCCCTGGCAGCATCTTCACAATGCTAAGATAATATGAACTTCGTCTTATACCTTGACTTCAATAGCCACCTAACTTATATCACTTGAATATATATTGTAAATAGTCTTAAGAAGTACAAGAAATGTATCAGAAAAAATGACATAATTCCTTTTTAAAATACTTCCAACTAGGAATTTTACTCAATATTTCTATATATGTCTTTTCTATATATCGCAGAACACAATTACTGATTAGCTCAGCTAAAAAATTCAAGTTTCTTAGACTAAAGTATGATTGGTCGAAAAAATGGTCTATCTGTCCCTTTCAGATCTTTAAACTGTCCACTGAAAGCTGGAAACCACCCGGATGATAAATTCATCAGTATCCTAGTATCGAACAGGATTGAATCTTACAAGACAATTAAAATGATGTAGGATAGGAAACTCATAAGAGAATAAATCTTCAACAATCAACACCCACAATAATGAACTTGCTAACTCCATCACAAAACAATATATTGAAGGAAATAAAACAACAGCATTAAGTGAAAAAATTTAAAATAAACTAAGTTAATGGCCAATATTTATTGCGTGAAATGACAGGACATTTTGTTTTTTCCTCATTAACAATTATTTATAGTAATATAAAACTTCCACTGAGATTTGACTTCTACCTGTTTAGTTTTATCAAACTAGATATGTGAACTCTCTGAAAGGAATGTTACAATGATCAAGCTAAATACCAAATAATCATCCTCAGCTTTGTAGACTCTCTGAAAGCAATGCAATATTAATAATAAATATTAGCTATGCGGACTCTCTGAAAGAGATGATGAGTTGAAAAACCCAAATACCAAATGAACAAAGTTTACAAACCTAAATAAACAATATCAGCTATGCGGACTCTCTGAAAAGGATGACTAACGGTGACAAATCTAAACAACCATATAAACATTACAAGCTATGTGGACTCTCTTTAAGGCATACCACATTGATAAATCCAGTCACAGAATTGCTTCAGGTACTCCAGAAGAACAAGCATGCCCTGCCCTGCCTAGAACACACCATTTGCTTACTTTCCTTTTGAATAATCAGTAGAAAAGCATTTATTCAAACATCAAGGCCACCAGAGTCAATGGTCTCATAAAAGTAGGTCTTAATAACATCATCAATATCAGACTAGTTGAAATTCTACCTTGAGGCAAGGAGAACAAGAAATATCATTGGCCTGACTAGACTGTAATCTATCTTTAATTAACTCTTATTTTAGAAACCAACGTATCAAAATTCAAAGCAGTTTATTAAAGGGACAGATGCGCTATCTGTTTTACCAATCATACCTTAGTCTTAGAAACAGGAATTGTTTAGCAAAGCTAATCAGTAAGTATTCACAACTCATCGCTGAAATTGAAGCATTCAAATCAATGTGTGTACAAAAATATCCACGTTAAAAAAAGGATTCGTCTTTTCTTAAGACACTGTCATCAATATATAGAAAAGACATTATAGAAATAGGAAAAGAAATTCCGAGTTTTAGATATTTTTGAAGGAATTATGCAATTTTCGTACATTTCTAGTACTTATATTCAAGACCCTAATCAATCCCTGAAAATGGCGGAGAGACAAGAAAACCCTTGTATACCTATTATACAACCCTCATGGTAATTATTTTACAAGGATAACAACATTGGTTCTTAAATATCCCTTCCACCGGCCAGTCCTTGGACAAAATCTCCACAATTCATCACAAGGATCATAACTTAGGTTCTTGATGATCTTACAAGGATAATAACTTAAGGTTTTGACATGATTTTACTTTGATTCTCGAAGATCATGTCGATACTTGGTCAAACTTCTTAACAAAGAATTTACAAAGACAACAATCTTTAAGAACCAAACAAACAAATAAATGTACACTAATGTCTTGATGAAATATCTATGGATAAAAGGATTAATATTAAGGCAACTATTGAAGGAGAGAAATCGTGTTAATAATCTTATGTAAAGGAAGAAAAAATAACTAATCTGCTTTAATAATTGAATAAACAAATGATGGAAAAGAAATATGTTTTTTGATGAAAGAGGATTGATTGAATAAAGGAATAAATTGTTAGTAAATGAAACATAATTAAATATAAATTAAACATAATAAAATAAAAATAAAAGAATGAATAATAAAAGAATGAATAATGAAAGAAAGAATAATGAAAAACTCACACTGAAAGAATCAATAAAGAATGAATGAATGAATGAAAGATACCACAATTGACTGAATGATTAAATCTTTAAAGATGGGCTCCCATATTTTTATTTATGAAAATGAAAATGCAAATACTTATATGAATAGAAAGTAGAGGTGTTCTAATGACTTTGAAAAATACCAATTTGTCTCACATGTCCATAATTAATTCATAATTAGCTAAAGTAGAAGAGAATTACCAGCAAAATTCCAATGAGTGACCGAGGAAAGTCAAAGTATTTTTTTGTTTATCCAGACTGTACATACATGGACATTTATAATTGGTTAAAACTCTTAATTATATGCAATAAGAACATAATGATATGATTAAGAATACATGATAATTCATTAGAAACACCAATTGATCAAACAGTTTGCTTGATTTGACGCTAAAAAATAAGGAAACCCATCTTTAAATAATAAGTTCTAATTGCATGGATGATTAACAAATAACAATTGCTAAAGGATTAACTGAATGCAATACCATATCATAAATGAATGAAGGAATGAAAATCATCTTACCACAGACTATTCTAGTTAGATTGATCAAGTCATAGTGGGTGTTAGATTTCCCACGATTCTCTGCCTGAGCCGTGACAGGAAAATACGACTTGTTTTTACGTTGTTTTCTTGTGGTGCTTGAAGTTTGTCGTATCGTTGAGCTAGAGGCTGTGGAATCTGAAGATAAATAATCAATATTTACATTAGGTTTGGCTCAAGTTAATTTACAGTATATATTCATTAGTAGTTGCCTATGGACAATTACACTGGACAGCTACCATTGCAAGACAAAATAACATATGCCAACATTGCAGTTAAGTGATCATGCTGGAAAAAGCACCCACACACAGGTGTTCGGTCAAGTCACTAATTGTCTATAGCCAATTACACTGGATAGCTTGTATTGTAAGACAAGGTAACACATGCCAACATTGCAGCTTCAAGAACATGTTGGACACAGCAAGATACACCAGCAAAGTAGGTGTTGAGTCGAGTCAAGTTGCTGAATATCCTATCACTAATTGCCTATAGAGAATTATACTGGAAAACTTATATTGTAAGACAAGATAACACATGCCAACATTGCAGTTAAATCAGATAGCATGTAGGACAAAGCAAGATATGCCAACAAGACAGTTGTCTAAAGCAAGTCTAGTAACGATACAGTATATTCATATTATAGACAAACACCCTAAGCTAGCCGGGTTTGCAAGACAAGATCAAAGACAAAGAAGATCTACTACTTGCTGAAATTGATCCAATGATTAGACTATATAATCCCCATTTTAAACAGACATGTCATGTTGAAAACTATACAATATTCTATTCCATCCAGATGAAAGTTCGGTACATTGACACGCCTCACACCCAACCCTCATCCCCATCCCCAACACCCCATCCCCCAAGATATGCCCTCCTTTCTTACAAGAAATACATGCATGACAGTCAGCTTAACAAAGTCATCAGATACAAGATCGACTCACGTCACTTCAACATTGGCATCAGGTGGTAAGTCAAAGAACTTAACCAGACGGACCCCAGCTGGTCGTCGGCCATTTTTTATTTTCTATTTCTGATCCCTTCCTGGTTTATAGATAATATCTAACTAATCTGACATGAGATTACCCAGCAGGCAACATTTCAACTCATCCACTACCGAGCTATCTCAATACAAACTTGTCAATAACAGAGATGAGATTTGAACCCATGGCACCTAACTACCTCTATTCAACCCTGAATGGTCATTTACTATTCAATATTGGCCATCTAATCACTTAATTTGCCTGACGGTTTAAGATCCCTTAAAGGGATAGCATCAATTTGCAATTTTCATTCCGACATCTGTGGTTGTTGTAATTCCACTAAAACTAAAACGTTTTATGACGTCACTAGAGGGGAACTGCATAGATATTAATAGTAGCTTCCAATAGTTCCCCTCTAGTGACGTCATAGTTTTAGTGGAATTGCAAGAATCACAGACGTCGAAATGAAAATTAGAATGGTGAAAATTGATGCTATCAGTGTCCGCGATACACATAAAAAGTTTAGAAAACCTCATTACAATCCCTTTAACAGTTGGTTACAGAAAAAGAGTAGACTAAAGTCTGCATGACATTGCCCATTTTCAATGGTCCAATCAGAACCAGATTGCAGTATGCAATAAGGCAAATTTACAGTGTGTTTTATGTTTTCTAAGCATCTAAGCATACACTTTGTTACAATAAAGCGCCACCTACCAGCATATTCAGTACGTTTATTAGATTTCTGACTGTTGTCTTTAAAAAATCGTGGACCTAATATCTCTTCTACTTTATTATCTCCAACATAATCTACTTGACGATTATCTATAATAAATAGAAAAAAATGAGTTGATAGAATATTGCTGCACACCTCTATTTGTTGGTAAAGGAGTTGTATAGACAATTGCCACGTTTCTGCTTCACAAAAAATATTGCAATCAATTTGATATTTCTCAGTGTAAAATTTCATATATAGGATTTCTTTGAAGGCCTGTTCCTAAATACTTTCACAAATTTTAAACTCCTTTGCTGAATGTTTTTTTTTAAAATCTCTACCTTTATTATCAGCTTTCTTCATTAATTCCAGTTTTTTCTTTTCCAGTAATTTCTGAAGTTCTTGGTATTCTGCCACTGTTGTGTTTGTCTCACCATCCGCCATTTTGTTGCCGTTTATTTTAGACGTTGATTCTCCACTCCAATGGCATCGTTACTATCTGACCCTGTCGAACTACGATGGTCACGTTTTTTATTGTCCATTTCTGGCTTCTTCTTTTTTCCTTTCTTTCTCTTTCCTCCTGTAAATAATGATTGAATCAAATCTATTATTTTGATTGACAATGTCAATGTAGTAGTAAGTTATATAAAGCTCAAAAGGAAACTGAAAAACTAACATAACAGTTTGGCTGCCAAAGTCTGGCAATAATTGGTAGCAGCTAACGAACTTTTCACATGAGGAGGATACATATCAAACATATGAGGATGTATTTCATGATGAAAAGTGGTATCAGGTGTCAAGAAGAGTAAGAACACCATTCCTGAAACCACGATGACTGCTTAATATTACATGCGAAATGAGTTTAATGAAAATAAATGTCATTTAGCGTCAAACAAAAACTGTCACCTACCAAATTCCAGAAGAGCTTTAGGTAGGGAGGATATTTTCCAGCGATGAAGAGAACAATCAAACCCTCCACTGATAATCTCATCAGGATCCAGACCACTCCATAATACAGATAGTATTCTACCTTGATGTCCGTCAAATTTCACTAGAGCTGTTCCTGTCTTTACATTCCATACCTTAAAGGGAATTCAAATTACTTTTATGTTTTACTTTTCTGCACCTGATTGGGCTAATGTTAAAGGGTCTTGAAAGTCTTAGGCTTTCTTCATGTCAACCCCTCTACCCGGCTGACAGACAAGGAGAAACCGGGTAAAAAATCCCAAAGGGTTATCTCAACCTTTGCTGGAATGAACCCTGGACCTAGGTTAGCGAGGAAGAGTCTATATCACTGAGCCACCTGGGCTTGATACATTAAAGGAACTTCATTTGGTCATGACTTTTCAAAACATTTTCATCTGATTTTTCAGTTTATAGATATAATATATATAGTAAATTGATTAAAACTAAATATAAGTATAAAGGGAGATAACTTACTATAACAGAAGAATCATAGCCACATGAGGCTATTTTACCATCCACATGTGGTGACCATGACAACCCTGTCACTCTTATAGAATGACCCTCCAACTTCCTCATACTCTCAATAATAGTCACTGGTTTATCAACTGGAATGTCTGAAAGGAAATGGAGTTTTACATCCGACTGTTCTTCTCTTGATTAAGCTAATGAAGACAAGTTGGAAAAGCAAAATTTTTATTAATTTACATGAGTGTGCCGACATCAGAATCTGATTTTGAGTTGTTTTATTGGGGTAATACCTGCTCGTTTCCCCTGCCTTGTTACAAGAGGGTGGTGTGCCTACCTGTGTCCTCCTCTGGGATAGTGGCATGGGGGAGGTACTAGCCAATCGTCCCTTGCAGTATTGACATATGGTTGGCACCTGCCATGTCCCAAGGGTGGCAATGGTACCTGTCGTTTCCCATGAGGTAGTGATACAAGGATGGTAGATGTCCACTGCTCCCTTGAGTAGTCAGTCTATTGGCCAGCATATCTCCTTAGGAAAGTGGATATTGGAGTGGTAAATACCCCGCCCCATCATTTCCTGGGGTTGTATTACCTACCTGAGAGGTCAACAATATGAACCATGGCATCATTAGCCCCGGAGGCTAGCCAGCTGTTACAGGTGGAGACTATAGAACCCCCCTGGGTGGTGATATGGGGGTGCCACTGTAGACAGTTGATTAGTTTACGATGAACCTGTATCACACAGCGTAGTTTAAAATCTGCCCAATAAACATCCACAGATCTACAAAAAAAAGATTTCATTTATAAGCATTAAAGGGATTGTAAAGACGTTTTCTAAACTATTAATGTGTATGGGGGACACTGATTACCTAACCAATATTCGATCAGACATCTGTGTGTCTTGCAATTCCACAAGTGTTTTATTACGTCAAAATCCAGAGACAAAAGCTTAAAGGATTTAAAAAAGGATATGATATGTAATTGATTTTAACATCCTAATTTTCCCCTGATAAGAGTTATTCAGATGAGAAACACTGTAGTGTGTACAATGAGGGGAAAAAATAAGAAAGAAAAGATGTATATAGCTTACCCATCTTCGTTGCCAATAGCAACAAGAGAATAATCTGGTTTCCATGAAATATCACTTCGTATAAGATGACTTCCCTGAAAATCAATGTGAATGCTTAAGGACAAGACTCTTCAAGGTTTAAAAGAATTTAACACTACAAGAGCTCACATGTAATTAGGTTGAAAGTCTTCATTGCACTAGTAAAGATAGGCTACTCTGGAAACTTACTGGAGTTTTCTTGCCGTTAGCAGACTCAATGATCTTGTTTATATTGGTAGCCTCTTTCGACATGACTTTAGGATGATGTTCTAGTATCACCCCATCACCCACTGTATACAGACTAAAATTACTGAAATTCTCCTCTGTAAAAAAAAATAAAATAAAAACATTGATATCAGAACAAAAGAATTGTTTGGAATAGATGGACAGGTGATACATTTTCTTATCTCAAATACTCCTGTGAAAAACAAACTTATTAGTATTAAATTCTAGTATTACAGAATATATTAGAGATAGAAAGACCATTAAATGGATTGATTTCTCTCAACCATTTAAAAATATAGGGAACAATAATAGCATTGATTTACACTCAAATATCTTTGGGTCTTGCAACTCCAAGTAATCTAAGTGTTTAAGCTGTAGTCATCACAAAAGTCTTTGTATTGCCCCACCCCAATCATGTTCCCTCAAACTTCCTATAAGTGTTCTGAGACAACCAACGATTCAGAAAAGAGTTTCGCTTTCTCGGTTGGATATAATCATATTACTCTACAGTTACTATAGCAACCGGAATAAACAGATTTGGCTACTTTCATCATAATCATAGTTATCTCCCTTTTACTTCAATCTCCCACAATAACTCCATTCACAAAAACCTAACCCAGAATTTATTTGTATTCAGATTGGAAGATATATAGTAAGCAGCCTGTAGCAAACAGAAGGTTGGGTTTATGTCCTTATGTCCATTCTGAGCAAAATGTCTTTTAAGTCAACACCTCCCAATCTAAATAAATCATAATTAATGAACCAGGTGAAAAATGCAAAGGTAGAATCTCGAGAAATTGGAAGGTGGAAGTGAAATTATAGTCTAAGAAGTTATAGAGGGTAAATACCTGTACATTTAGATGGTGGACCCCAAGCAACAACATAAACTGTTTTTCTATGGAATGTACCAGACAACAATGGTGGTCTGTAAAATCAAAATTCACAAACTCAGCACTGATTCTAAAATCTTACATAGTAAGACATCTTGTGGGCATGAAACTAATTTAATACCCATAACCCCAAACTCGGTCATTTTTTTCTGGGATTCCTTCCCATTTCGTCAAAGATACTTCTGAAGGCATTGAAGCTGCTAACAGACACTGTTTTTGTGTATCATGGACACCGATAGCATCCATTAGTACTATTCCAATTTTCAGTTGGACAACTATTTACTATGGTTCATGCAATTCTACTTCCATTCTATTTTAATTCCAAAGTGGATGAAAACAGATTGAATGTGACTTACTTCTGTGAGAAGACATCATAAATACCAACTCTACCATCATCAGTACCGTAGGCTAACCAACTTTCTTTACTTGGATGCCAACTTAACTAAAAATATAATAATAAAACAATTTAACTTTCATTTAGTTTATGTTAATATTCAATTCTGTAATAAGCTTAAAATTCTTTACTGTCAAGATAGACAAGATAAGTCTTAAAACCAAAAGGAACTTGAAAAATCTGATGATATGTCAAATAAGGAACTTACATGTTAGGGAGACAGATTAAAAGGACAGATTTGCCATTTTCAGGGGTTGATTTTGGTCTTGAATGTCTTTACTATGTATGGTAGAGTCTCAAGAAAAGACGAATTGTCTTTGTAACTTTCAAACACGGATAATTCTTGATACACTTGGATTTGAAGGCTCAGATTTTAACAGTGATTAAAAAATTACCTGTTTCTGAGACTAAGGTACAATTGGTAAAATGTATGGCAAACCGTTCTATTTAAAGCACATTGAGTCCCTGATGTAAAAGCTAGACTTACACATGTAACTTTAGATTTTATTCCTTGCCATAAACTCTGGAAATCAAAGGAATTGGTCTTATTGTTGGTATTCCATACTCTAATCATAGAATCTCCCACACCTAGAGCTAGCCGTCCTGAAATACAATTAACAAAATATATATTAAATCTAGAAAAAATATGGCTGCATTATACTTGGGTTAATGTTGATTGTATTTGAGCTAATATAAGAATTTTGGTGGGTGTGGCATTCTTCCCCTCCCAGAAAACTTAAGGTCACTCCATAATTGGGTCTGTCAACTATGCATTCTTACAAATTTCATTAAAATCAAACCCAAAATTCTAGCTACCATTGAGTTCTTGTGAAATATGAACATACAGATCAAGGCTATGACATGTTATATACATGTACCCAGTACAGTCAACTCTTTGCCCAAACGAGGACAAAGATTGCCACGAGGTGTACAATGAGGAAACTTTTGCGAAGACAGCAGTCTACTTTTTAATGATTTTGAAGTAAAATGTCAATTCAGTAAAAGTCTAAGACATACCTGGATCTACTGGGGATGATTTTATAGTATAGAGATATCCACCAAGACTAGGTAATGTGTTAATACAAGACATGGTTTTTAAACTCCATACACCAATCTTAAATAAAGAGAAGTGACATTTTTACTGGGCTGATAAACTGACAGTGTAGTGTGCTATGAAGACATTTTGCCAGAAAGACATTTTGCCAGGACAGCAGCATTTTCGATTTTAAACCGTTGAGGTATTGTAACATGAGCCATTGGCACATGAGACATCAGTATATTGTCCCATCTAAATGACTAAACAAATCAGTTTCTCGAACCTACATCATTGGCAGAGGGAAATGAAATGAATGGAGTTTTATGAAGACGGGCAACGACATGCAGGGTACAATGAGGAAAATTTTGCCAGGACAGCGGCATTAGCCTGCTCTTTTTCGATTTCCAAACTGTCGAGGGAACTTTAACGTGCACAAGGGGCTTCGGTTTATTGTCCTATACGAACGACTAGACGCTTTTTCCATGTCAGCCCCTCTTACATTGACAAAGGGAAATCCAGTTGAAAAATCTTAAGGTATCATATCAACTTATGCTGAGATTGAATATAGGACCTACAGGTTAACGAACAAGAGTGCAAACTCCTACGGCCCTGGATCAAACTCCCCAAGCTGTTCAATATAACACTTACCAATCTGTCCATGGATATAGTATAAAGATGGTTCTCATCCTTGCTGCTGGCACAAATATTGAACACCACTCTGGTATGACCTCGACCTTCAGTAGATGAAAACAGTTGCATTGGTTTCTCAGCAGACGGCAATATATCCCATAATATTAACTCACCACTGAAATTACCAAAAGGCCAGTAGAATACATTCTTCATTTCATCTTTACAAATGCAACAGATTGTCATTGATACTGAATATAATTTGCAGGCAAAAAAAAACTCCCCTATTTACAAATGAGCTCTTCCAATAATACATATAATTGGTAGGAAATATGCATGTGAGGCAGAGTTCACTAAAAGGCTGAGGGGTGTTCAATAGATGACGTAGTCACTATATCCACTCTGAAATTGTTCCCATTTCATGGTTATCATAGTAACTATTATCTGTTAAAGCAAATGCTTTGGTGAAAATCCTCAAAAGTTGTCAAAAAAGCAGGTTTTCTAATAAAATCAAGCTTCTTTGATGCCAGATTTTTGTTTCTAAACAAAATGCGAAAGAATCATACCCATGAGAGCTGGAAATCAACTGATGCCATTTTTCTTTTCTCCAGTACAGAGTTAACCAGACTTTATTGCGGCCTTCCTCTCGCTGTTCCCGTTTATATCCTGTATTTATCGGCAATTTCTTCTGAAACAGTTGTCTCCCTTTCTCACTACTCCAGAATTTAATCGTTCTATCTCTAGATCCTGTTGCTACGATACAGCCTGAAAATTACAAAAAATTCATGATAAATGTAATGATTGATCAAGAGATCAGACGACATTTCAAATTAGTCAAAGGCCTTAAGATGCACAGCCTACAGAACATAGAAAGATTATCAGGTCTCTATTACAGGCTTAAAACGTAAGAAGGGTTCACAATTTACTCAATCAAGTCTAATCAGTGGAACTTAAACCCCCCCACGCTCTTAATTACTTTCCCCTGCCCCTTAATTACTCGCCCCTTTTTTTCCACTATCTTCATTCTATCATTTACTTAGATTTCAGAAGAATTTTTTAAACAATACCTCCTATTTTTGTATTACACACTATACTATTTTGCACCTGTTTTGGCATTTTGGTGTTTTTTAAATAAAATAAACAAAAGTTTTACATTATTCTTTTTTATTTGGGCATTTTTGTTTGTGAAATGAAATGGAGTTTTTTTGTTCTACTTTTCTGCACCTGTTGGGGCGTTTGTTGTTATATCATAAAAAGTTTATTGACCATGCTGTAGTCAATCACCTTCCAATGTCAGTATAAGCCCCAGGCTAAAGACATAAATATACATAAATAAATAATATATATCATCTAGTAGATCAACAATTTTACTTTGTTTTTACTTGCATACAAACGTATATTTTAAACATATTATTAATGCTCTTGAATGAAAAAGTGTAGGCTAGTGCTACTGTCCTTAAGAAATTTCCTTCATTGCACATGGTATGGAATTTCCAGTCAGGTGCAGAAAGTAGGACATAAAACTCTATTTCATTTTCTTAGAAAAGCAACAAAACGCAGAGGTCAGATCAAAAATTGGAATGGTACAAATTGATGCTATCATTTTTCTCTGATACTTTAAAAAATTTAGAAAGTCTCTTTACAATCCCTTTAATTATAATTTCATTCAGACTGCATTAGAAAGAAATCATTTCATTTCTAAATACAATATTTAGTTTCATTTTCACTGTAGAATTAATTGACTTTTAGCCAGCAGATGTTTGTCTATTAGTTGAATCATAACAAATATACTAATCAATTCATATAAATAGTATTCAAACTATATAACTATATTATATTCAGAATTATACGGTATATCACATTTCATGTATTCATATATAATATCAAAATCATGAGTCAGTATAATTATATATATTATAACTTTATGGAAACGAGTCATTCTGTTACACCATAATCAATATGATAATATATTACATAATATTTGCTGAATCTGTTTTTATGTGTCAATTTTACTGTTAAATATGAATTTAGTAGAGCTCATATACTGCTGACACCTGTTTCAGAAAAACAATCCTCATCAGGACAGCTAGTTTTGAAATTGAGGGCTACCCTTTTAAAAATTGAGTTTTCCGTTGTACAGGAACAAAACTTGTCCAAAGTGGAATATGTCCTTCACACAGAAAAATAAAAACCTACTTTTCTCCTTCACAATAGATTACAAAAAAAATTTGGCATAGCCATGCGGTATGCAAAGAGGGAAATTACGCCAGGACAGTAGCATTAACCCCAACTGCTGAGGCATCTTTAATACCTAAATTATTAATTGGGCCTAGGTATAAAATGAACTCCTTTATATGCTCAGTCTGAATCACACAGTCTGAACCTACCAGTTTTAGCAGCATCATCTTTCTCGTCTTGTTCCCCGTCTGTAAAAATTGTCTCCCCTGGAACTGGACACCAGACGATACAGTGGATCTCATCATCGTGACCTCGTAGTTTGTGAAGAACTCGACAATTCTTCGTAATATCTAGTAATAATACATTTCCAGACTTATAACTGAAAAAAAAGAATTCAGCATTTTTTGAAAAGACAGAAAATGAGACAAGCAGGCACTCTACTCTCTACATAATGTGATATACACATACGTTTGTCTGACAGGTTCACCAGCTTATCTTGCTCGGTCAACATACCTTATGCATATCAAATCCTTGTCAAGATATCTTGTCTGAAAATGGGTTTCAATCTCAATACCAATATATCCACTTACCCAACAGCTACATGGAACTTTTTATGTGGAGAGCAAGCAATACTGAAAATATATTCTTTTTCTTGTTTAAATTTCTGACAGATGTCTGCTTTATATTGCCAGCAGATTATGTTTCCTCGTTCGTCTCCAGTTACAATCAGATCATCCTGGAGACTAGACCAACTTCCACATGTAATCTTGTCCTGAAAATACAAGTCTGTGTTAATTGGCGCCAGATTTTTGGAGAAAAAAAAAATTACATATGTTAGTTCAATATGATAAGCCTTACTCGAAACACTTCTTAGATTGAAAATTTCCCTCTGTCAAATATATTTCAAAATAATAAATTTTTCATCATCGTAAACCCAAAGACAATCCCAGCCTCACAATTCCAAAAAAAAAATGCACTTCTGATAACATTGTGGTCCTGCAATCGTGCACTAATCCCAGGTCCACAACAATCCAATTCATCTCTACATGGGCATGCATATTTTTCGACAGTGCACATGACAGTTGTTCTAACCAAATCCATTCAAGACAGCAATCCATTTCGCAAGAAAACTCATGAAGAATTACTGGAGAAAATGCTGCTATACATTACCTTATGCTCTGAATGAGATTTTGTGGTAACCTTTGACGCGATGTCCCAAACTTTTACAAAACCATCATCTGAAGTGCTGCAACAACTGCCATGGTTCTCTTTTGTCTGCCCAAGCATCGTGGACGACACCCGGTCCTTGTGCTCAGTGAACATGCCAACAAAATGTGGAGGTCCATGGTTTCCCCCATTAGTTTTAAAAATGTAAACATTACTACGGGCACCGAAAACATACAGCCCCGTCGTGTTAACATCGCTAACTTTACTGCAATACCAGTTTGGTGAAGGCGGAATATGACTAAAAGACATTCTGGAGAGTTATTTCGACATGTTATCTCCTCAACTGACTTCAATAACCGTATAAATGCACGTGAATTTCGCACGTGTGTTGTGGATTCAAGCACGAACTTTTTCCTAATGAGGCATGTCGTAATTTAGGTCTGAGACGAAGTTACCGAAATATTTCCATCCTTTCGGTTCTCTGAATTTATTTACTATTTTGAAGAAATCGTAAGCAAAATATTTAAATAGAAAATAATTATGCACCATTTTTCTCTTTCTTGACGTCAAGAAATGTATTTTACGACAATCGCAAATTTTCAAGATGGCAGCCTCCATGACCTGTAAGTTTTAATACTTTTTTTCCGATTATTGAGGAATACAATCGGTTTGAATTAACTAGAAGTTGTATGTCATGGCATGCTCAAATTTTTCGATGTTCGACAACTTGTGCTATCGTAGATGATAGTTATATGGTAGTCGGGTTAACTCGTTGGCTCAGAGTTGGAAACTGAAAAAGGAGGAAATCACTTGGCCCCTACATGACGCTCAGACAAAACTATTTATTTCTGATTACACATGAAGTTTATTTGATTACAACACAATTAATAACCAAGATCGTAGATCTACAATTAAATCATGTCACAGAATATTATCACAGATATGGATATTATAATGATGCATGCATGCATAGAAGAGAAATAGGTACATAAACTAATACTGACCCAAAAACGTAAAACTGGATAGAAAGTAGAGAGTCTAAAAGAAACTGTTCTGTGTTTGGTATCTAAGATTTAAATGAGGATATAGATATCTAAGTGATGAAACTCACCAGCAACTCACTGGACTGACTACACTGAGCAAATAAGTTATTGTCCAGTGAGACAAGTGATTAGAAGAGGCAATGATTGATGTTAATAAGGCCAATATTTAGTAATTATGTGATCTTTAAAACTTAGAGTTGCATTATAAAACCAGACAACAATTAAATGAAATACCAAGTTTGGTAAAAAATGTTTTCTATCACATATTAAATGCACAAAGGCTAATGAGGAAACCCAGCTGAATATCAGCTATATAAATGGGAACTGTATATCCAGGAAAGATAAATATCAAGAGGTTTGATCAAGGACCAGAGAACCGCAGTTCTTTTGAAATGTTCTAAATCGAAACAAAATGAATGCTGCTGTCCAAACAAAATTTTCTTAATTGCATACTGCACGGCTTTGCCCATTTTAGCTAAAACCTAAAACACTTTAATTTATTTATGATACACTCATAAACATTTCTTCATTGATTTTTATTGTGTAATTTCAGGTGCTGTCATGAACAAGTCCAAATTATTTTTGAATCAGAAACTAACCAGTATTATTTGTCCAAGTGTACGATTTTTTAACGTAGATGGACCAAACTCGATCAAGTTGTGGAATAAATATAATAAGATTGTGTACAGACCTCGTAAACCAGGAGAACCACGCTTACCTGCTGTGAGCATTTTATTTTTGACTTTTGGACAGTTCGTTTACAGATTAGGGTGATTGAAGAGTAACAAGTTACTATTCAATATAAGGCACTGGCACAGGGTTAAAGTTATGTTAACAATAATTGTGATGCTAATATGCAATGAACTAAATCAAAGAAGATCATAACGGTTATCCTATAAATCTTCTTGGACCTAATAAAGAAATTCATAATACTTATAATCTACATTTACGGAAATAACATTATTGGGACAATTGTCTGTGGAAAATACAGAATAATTGTTAATATAATGCACACCCTTTTTTGTCCTGGATGGATATGGCCAAATCTACCGTGGCAAAGATAAAACAAAGAATTCCTCAAGTTGTCATAACAAAGACACTAGTTTGGCAAACCATTTCATACAGTAAAAAAAAAACCCAATCTACAGGCAAATAATTTTACATCCATCAGTGACCCAAGTTCCATTATAAGACCTGAAATTCCCTTTGTCCTGATAATAGTTGTATGTCCAAAACTTGTGTCTAGAGTTGTACCTTTCCAAACCAACAATATTGTTGAGGATTTTATATCTACACGAGGGGCCATCAGCATAGAAGAGGCTCTGTTAATCCCTTGCCCCTCTTCCTACTGCCCCTCTTCCCTTTCGTCCCTCACCTCTATCCCCCTTGTTCCTCTTCTCCTTGCCAGCAGTCCTTCCTCCCCCTTTTCGGCTTCCCTCTGTCCCTCTTTCCTCTTCTTTAATGAAGAATTAATTGTACATTTTTCAGGAAGTGACTCATTATCGTCAAGATATAAAATACAGTCCAGATAAACTATGGTTTTTAGCCTGTATGGTAAGTATACTGGAGTTATTTCCCTTGAGTAACAAACCATGGACTTGTTTATTTAAAACTATCATAACTTTTGATGATTTTGAAAAGGGCTGGAGAATCACACCACATAGTTTAATCAGATGTGAGTTGGATTGTTGTCCGTTAGGCAATTAGGTACTGTAGGCTTGAATCTTCAAGGTTAGAAAAATTCTGATACCACCACCAATGCTTTCAAGAATCCGATGTACATTCACCCAATCTTACATTCACCCAATCTTACATTCACCTAAGTGTACATTTACCCGATGGTACATTCACCCAATCTTACATTCACCCAATGGTACATTCACCCAATAGTACATTTACCGATGGTACATTCACCCAATCTTACATTCACCCAATCTTACATTCACCCACTGGTACATTCACCCAATAGTACATTCACCCAATGGTACATTCACCCAATCTTACATTCACCCAATGGTACATTCACCCAATGGTACATTCAATTTTTGGTAATTTGATTTAATTTTTTAGATTCGTGGAATGAGTATAGACGATGCCGTAAAACAACTGTCATTTAATAAACAGAAAGGTTCCAAAGAAATCAAAGAGGTATGGTGAAATATTGATGATAAGCCTGTAGTATCCAACTAAGGGCAATTCATTGTACAACAGGGGAGATCTCAATTAACTGGTATCCCACCTTTCACTTTTGACTTCATGCTGTGACTTCTCACTCTTGACTACTCACTCTTGACTTCTCACTCTTGACTTCATACTTGTGATCTCTCACTCTTGACTTACATTCTGACTCTTAACCTCTTTTCTCACTCTCGAACTATCTTCTCAGCCTTGAAGTCACTGTGGCAAGCGTTTTTCCACCCTTGTTTTCAAGTTTGTGACATCCCACTCATGACTTCATGCTTGTGACTTTTCACCCTTGAATTATTGCAAGTGACTCCTACTAGTGATCTCTCACTCTTGACTTATCACTCTTGACTTCTCATCTCACTCTTGACTTCTCTTTTCACTCTTGACTTCTTACTCTTGACCTTTCCCTCGTTACTGCTTGCTGGATAGAACTCACTCTGTTATGACCTCTTTCTGTTGACTTCTCATCGCCGACACTCACCCATGACTTCTCAGTCTTGAAACTTTTCTCTGAATGTGTAGAGAGTTGCAAAATGATCTCTTGATTCTAAGCTCAGAAATTACTTTCAATGTTTTAATTACAGGTTTTATTAGAAGCTCAAACTGAAGCAGTGGAACTTCATAATGTTGAATTTAAATCCAATTTGTGGATTGGTAGGTTGTCTTCATAATTACTTTTTCATTTATCAAACTAGAATTAGATATGGCCTTATTCATAGCTTTCCTCAGTCTACTCAAAATATAGAAATCAGGGTTGTTGATTAAGCTGTATTTGCCGGTCAAGTTTGATTAGAGCTCTAACATGAGTGACTGCAATTTCTATCATTAGGACATTTTCTATGCAAATATGATTAATTATCTGAAATTTTCTTTTATTCTTGATGAAAATTGGAACAAGATCTTGATTAACATTTTAATTTCCAGTTGGGAACTTATTATCTGTGAAATTATACGGAGTCTCGGATTATCTGTAACCCTTTTCAAAATGAAAATTTGTTATGAGGTATTGCAGTGATTAAATGCTAAATGTAATGTTTGTTGTTTCAGCTGACTCTTTGGTTGGTCGAGGAATTGTTCATCAAGGAATACGGTTTCACACCCGTGGACGAGCGTACCGATTAAAATTACGTCACGCAAATTATTTTGTTCGTTTGAGGGAAGGAAAACCACCGAAACATTATTATCCTCCCCCTCCAACTGGAAATGAAAAATTAGAAGAATATATTCAGGAAATGAGATCGCGTAGAATTAAGAACGAACTTTGAACTTTGTGGGTGTTTTTCAAGTTTTGTACTGTATTGTTTCCTGGGATACCTGGGTCAAAAATAGTCATAGTAATTTGATTGGTCAATCACTGAAATCTATAGTTAGTCTATCATTATCAGCCAATCAGATTACTGTTTGTCTAAAATCGAGGGAACTATTGAGTAATTTTAAATTTTTAAGATAAATTCAAGAATTTAATGGTACAGTAATTTTATTGGTTAATAAAACTTAAATTCATGTGATTGACCAATCATCATTGCTAAGAATTTTGTTAAATTGGCCCCATATTTTTTGCTACAAAATCGTAACATATGAATTATATGCAAGGTAAATCATGGTGTACAGTGCCAAGAATTGAGCAGAATCATCTATAGGGAGTTTTTATAATGCTGAACAGTCTAGTCTCATACATGGGGCTCTCGGCATTGTTTCTCTAAACTTCCACCGAACTTGCACATTAAATGAAGGAAAATGTTATTTTTGATGTTATCAAATCGTTAATTATAACATATATTATGCTCGTTGAGAAACAGGGTCATAATTTTGATCTGACTTGCTTAAATATTATCAAAATACGTTTTAAAAAAAACTTTTTTTGCAATTTTTATCAAGTCTAAATATAGAAAAAGCATTAAATTATGTTTATCAATGATATGGGTATTTTTTTAAATAAAACCAAACGATAAGGTAGCCAACATGGATTTTTTTTCCGAATGTTTTAAAATTAATTCGGTAAGACTTGTGGGGCAACCCGAATTGATAACGGCACATCTTCCATTTTAGTAGTGGTTGGTACTTTCCTCTTGGAGGCGATCTCCTCAACCAGTTCCTTTTTGTATTTATTCCAAGCCTTAGTGGCCATCAGAGTTGAGTAAAGATATTGGTTAGACACTAACATTGGTTCCCTAACTTCGGCCATTTTGACTAAGTCCTCAGTATGGGTCTGGATTTCAAACTGGACGGAGTTGACCCGCAGACACTGAGCTTTACCTTTTGATATGACAAATGTATTTGTAAGATTCTCTCCTGAAATTAAATAAGCATGTTAATATAAAATCATACGGAGTTTTACGACCTACTAACGAATAAAAGTCTGAGAGTTGCTTTGTCGTGTGCTTAAGGTGAAATGCATCGTATGGGTGAATTCTTACTGACTTCATAATCTGCCTGTATATAATCCCAAATACACGATAGCCAACTATTCAGGTTTGGACATATCTTATATAAACGAACAGGGGTGTGATATTGACACGATGCCCAAAGTGTAAAGCGCTGACACAACGATAGCGCCCACCGCTGGAAGTGAACGTTAACTAGTCATCAACCAACCAACCAACCTACCGCCCACCTCACTCCTTTTCCTGTCTTCCTACCCTTGCATTGATACAAAATAATCACTTGTTACATATAGACCTTCCCAAATATGGACATACAACACGTTTTAATCATGTACAGAAAACTGCCATAGTAGCAATAGGCCTAAGGCAACTGTCATTATATCAAATAGGCAACGGTCCATTACTTCCTAGTTGTGAACGATATTTCGTATAGAACATGCCTCCGCTTTTAAGACCCCCATCCTCTACAGCCTTTCAACCCAACACTTACCAACACCGAAGTAATCACCAGTTTGGAGTATGAACATGGTAGCGAATCTGTATTCGTGGGTCTGTTTACGCCAGTATCTGCCGTAGTTCTTTCTGAAGAAACTAGGACCACAGGCGTCCTCCGGTAGATGAAGGGTGGATTCGAGATGTGGCGATTTCTGACGAATCATTTGAATTCTTCGAACAACAACACAATTGCCTTTGGTGATGAAATAAACATATTCTGAGAGACCTGGATGGTCTCCAGTTATCGTCTGGAAATATAAGAGATTATAGAAACAGCAATTATGCCAAGCACAGTTGCCTTTAAGGATTTGTCTCGAAATTTATGAGAACCACGATGAGCTGTAACAGATCTGAAAATTAGAAAATACAGAACGGGAAGTAACCTACACAATTACATCAGTTAGTCCCTGTGGTTCTAAAAGTCTGAAAATATTGGCCCTTGTGCCGAGCTGTTTCCAATATTTCAGAAAACATTATGCGTATGAAATTTCAAAATTTCAAACGAAGCTACTTACACAATTATCCGGATAATCGCAGAGTTCCGTAACATCTGCCAGCCCTTCTAGTTGCTGTGGTTCCCAAGTCTGGAAATATACCGACTGTTTCAGGATCTCCAGTCTCTCGGCTCTCAGATAATCCCAGGCGTCTCGTAATACTTTGTTAAAACTATCTTTAGTCATGCTCAATAATTCACAATTCGCTGGAAATGAAACAGAAGTATGATAAAAAATGCATTAACAAAAAGAAACGCACGCTTATCTGAAATTTTATCGTTAGTAGATCCTAGTATCGGCTTACATATGTGCCTGTATTACTTTTCAGAATGGCAATCAACGTCTAGCTCGCCATCAAAATAATTATCTACGTGATAAGTGAGTGATAACGTCCTCCAAATATGATAATAAGTCTCCGGGAAAAAAATAAACTGTAGACGAACCTTGTGCCAGATATTAGCTCTGAAAAATTATCAGTGCAGTTCACAGTAGGCTAATATCGGTTCAAAGATTTGTTCAAAGAAGTATCGTATACTCACTTTTGCAGTAGACTGTGGCAGTTCGCTTGATATTTCTCATCAAGGCTAGTTCTCCAAAATAACAACCAGGTGTGAATTCTTTAATCTGTCGGACGATCTTCTCTCCTAAAATAAACCCCAACAGGGTACAATTTGTATCCACGAACCCCATCCGGACAAAAGGACAAAATAAAACACATTGGGTCACTGGTATATTATATTTATTGTTAGATTTGTAGGTGTAATTATAATGTACCTGTTCGAGGGTCCATCATTTGCATACGAACACCCAGACATCCTGAAGAAACGAAATACATCCTGAAGCCTGGATGATCCTGCCTAATAACCACTCTGCCAGCATCTATTTTATCGTAATCCAGGCACTTGGCCAGATCTCGCTTGATGGACATGGAATATTTCTGGAAGAACGGCATCCTGTTGATCACCTCCTGAAAGAAAAGAGCCTCTCATTTCATTTAAATATATTTTGATTTAAGAAGGGTTTTTTTATGAGTCATCAAACCCTAGAACCTTGATATCTTATACATTGATAAGCGTGTAACACAAGTTTATGAAATACAGGCACGCGATTAAATGATTTCGCGTACAATATTTTTCCTAAGAATCTAATAGTTCCCTTTAAATGGATAACATCAACTTTGACTTATTAGCATGCATAAAATTCAAACTACTAACTACGCAGTTGAAAAAAAAATCATGTTAAAGAACGATGAATAGTTTGAGATTAAAAGATCTTACCTTACAAAATAGTTTGACTGAAAATAACTTAAAAGCGTATTTAAGAAAATAAAAGAACTTAAAGTTCAATGTCCAACTGGCTAGCAAATTGTGCTGGGTACAATGACAGTTTTCTATGATCAGAATTAAAACAAGAACACAAACAGATATTGTGTCCAAATACATGTATATCGGTACATATGAAACAAGGAAGCAATGCCGAGGCGTGATCTCATTCATGAGGTGAAGAGGGGGGGGGGCTGGGGGCGATCTAAATTAATAGGAAGTTTGAAAGTGGGGCCGAATTCTGGGCTAGACTCGGTTCTGGTGGTCCCAAAAGACTAAAATGAAAACAAACAGTTTACCAATAAAACCATAATGTCGACATCATTTCGTTCGTTCTGACGTTTAGCTAGAGCTATCCTAGCCATTCGCGTTAATCCACCATACGTCTTAGAGGCTGACCGATAATCCTGTGGGTCAAAGGTCAACAATTCCCCGTCAGTTCCAACTCTCTCGAACACTGTGTTCTTCTTCTCTTCTTTCTGCGGAAAAAATGTAGTTTAACATCTTAATTTTCTAAGGAAATGAGTTTTATATCCTACTGTTCTGTACCTTATTACACTAGAGATATGGCTCCCATTCTCGAAACAATTTTAGCCCTAGGATGTCCTAAGTTCTTATCTTCTAACATTGATTCTAGGACCTCCTAGCGCTAAGATCGTATGGAGTTTTACATCCAACACTTTGTCTTATTGAAAGGTAGTTTCTATGTTGAACTGACGAGGGGTTACATACCTTGAGCTGACGTGAAGTGACCCTAAAAAGAGCCACAATGTGGTAGATCATGCGGCAGAATCTTCGGAATGGTGTGGCCCTAATTTTGATGTATTTTTCCTCCAAAATAGTCATTCTTCTGAGACGAGACGCCTTTCTCTGTTGTCTCTTTTCTCGCAACTTTCCATCTTTGCCTATACTCTTTCTTTTTTCCTTCTCGATTTGAACCTAGGGGTCGATAAAAGTTTATTAGTACTGATATACAACAATCTACATTAAATAAAATAACATTTCGTTGTTTCCTTTTGCCTGACATTTTTCGTCTTCAGTGTAATCTAACAAGTTTTCTACCAAAGTTCCGTTCTAAAGACTTTATTTTTTAACCAATTAAAGCTTGTCATGCAGGACCCAAGTCTTGATAACAATCACAAATTTTGATGCATTGCTGCCCAAATTCATGCAAACGTTAAACGAAATAAAAGGTTCTTACCGGATTCTCTTCGATCTTTAGGCCAACTGAAGATTTTATAGGATCTCCAGGTTTATGTTTCATTTTCGACTTCCAAATATGGACACCTTGTCTAAACTTAGCCTCGAACATGCTCAGATTGAGTTTGTTAATTTCTTCTGCCATCGTATCATCAGCCTCGTCATCATTCTTCCCCGACCCTGGCGATTTAAAATAGTGACAGGGCACTCGAAGAAAGATGTCCTGAATTTCGTGGATTTTTTCATTGGCATCGTAATCATCGTAGGGCGATATCGGGCTGGTGCCGGCTAAGAATTCCAGGCCAGTTTTGGAATCGACGCCTCTAGCGCCTTGGCGGGATTCCTTATGCCGACATTTTCTGGAATTCTGCTGTCGAGATTTAGATCTGTTTCCCTGACGGCTTGTGGTTCCAATAGTATTATCCGAGGTTGTATTCCGTCGCTCTAAAAACAGAGGCGGGAGGTATTTTTCCTCGGAGAAGCTCACTGGTACATAAGCTTGTGGGTCCGAAGGATAATGACGTCTGCATTCCCCAATAACCGGCGGGACACATGACATGGAATTGATGAATATAGATCGAAGCCTTTCTTCATACGATTTGGTAACCGGTATGAAATGACAACCATCTTGTGCCTTGGTTCTGTATCGCACCATTGCTGTCGGAAATTTTGATACCAATCGTTGAATTCCATTTTCGTATCGTTGATCTTTCTTTTTCGCTTCTTCAACCCAATCATCCAAGCGCTTGTAAATGTTATTTTTTGCATCTTGTAACTCTTTATCAGTGAGAGACATTGTGGGTTTTCTCTGAAGCCGTTACCCCATTGTAACGTCAACTCGACTCCACGTGCTATTGTTTACAGGTCAAAGGTTACGTCAAACTCTAACACATGCGCAGCATCGGTTTCCGGTCAACTCACATGCTTCCGGATTGTCTGAAGGTTGACGAAATCAAAACATAAAAGCGTAAAATATCACTAATAAAAATTGAATTGTTCTGATAAAGGTAACTAGAGGTTTTGCATAAGTATTTGTAATTATAATTTCTCATCTGCTCGGGTTTCTTAAACTGGCTTGTTTTGTTTTCTAGGAAAAAATCGAAGTGAAACTGAAAATTAATGCGCATCTAATTTTGGCTTGGTCAGCCGTGAAGTCAGACCACCATGGCGGTGCCCTCCTTGGCACATTGGGCTGGTTACGGCCTGATTTCCTATAACACCTTATATTCATACATTATTGAGTAAAATTATACTTATCTCTTTTCAGATCTGGGATTAACTTGTAATTCCTTGAGTTAGTGACAGAGTAAACCAAGATGAATTCTGGAGGTGCAGACATGGACCCTGAGATGAAGAAATCTCTAGAAACGGAGGTGCAAAAAAATCAGTTACGAAGTCAATTCCTGAAATTAACTGATGCCTGTTGGGATACGTGTATGGACAAACCTCGAGACAAATTGGACAGTCGAACAGAGGGATGTTTTATCAACTGCGTAGATCGTTTTGTGGACACGAATCAAACTGTAGTGAGTCGCTTCGCTAATATGGTTCAACAACAGCAGTCAGGTTTTAGATGAACACAATATAGTAGTCAAATGTGTATGTGATTTGGGTTTTAATAACTACCAAATTTGTGACATTAATATTGTTTTAAATCAACAGCAATCAACTTTGTTAATGATGATTTTTAAGTTCTGATTAATCAAGGTTGGCTCAAGATGGAATATGGTGGAATTTATCATTATGTATATTACATTATGTATTTATTGGAATATTTCTGGGTGTGATATATTGAGAAATCTTACTATACATGGGATTATATTGAGATATCAACCAAAATTTAACATCATAAACATCCTTTCAGCATAGCTTTAACTTTCAGAGAGTCCACAAAGCTTATGAATTATTTTAATAATTAGATTTATCAACTCAGCATCCCTTTTGTAGAGTCCACATAGATAATAAAATGTTTATTTGTTATTTAGTTGGTCAACTTTGCATCAGAGAGTCATCAAAGCTAATAACATTTATTTGGTATTTAGGTTTATCAACTCGGCAACCCTTTTTTGTACAGTCCTCATAGCTTATGAATTATTATGATCTACTAAGGTTTGTCAACTTGTCACTGTCAGAGAAATCCCATAGTCAACTCAATATCAGGAAGTGCAATATTTGAGTCTTTGACACCAAATGTGATCAGGTGCAATTCCAGTATTATTCCACTTAAATGTGTATGAAAATTGTAAAATCAGCCTTTTGTAAAATAAAACCTCATCACTTTTTTTTTTTTTAGTTACAAATTATAAATAAAGAAGGAACCTTTCTGATAAGAGTTGTTGGGGAGGAAGGTTTAGGGGTCATGGATTGTAGAATTATACACATGTACTTCTGATATTATTCCTGAACCCTCAGCCATCATTTACAAGGGTTGTCCTAAATGTCCTCTCGCACACACAGGCACAGGCATCTGCCTCTTCCAACCTTTTGCCGGATCAATTGAAATTGAAGATTTTGCACCATGAATTTCAGTCAAGGCCGCCCAAGACAAAATCGAATTACATCCTCTGTAAATTAAATCAATTTGCGGTCGTGAGTTTCAATTCACGTTCTCGCACTCTAAATAGAGTTACCTCCCTTCAATTAATGTAAGAGACCAGAGAATATACTCTCTGATGAGACTCGTCTTGAACTACCATCGTTTCATGAAAAATTCAAGAAGACTTTTTCTTTTTATAGATACATCTTTTCGGATCAATCCTCTATACAAACTCCATCATAACCTTCAAATACGAAGGGTCAAGGAATGCTGACATAAAAATGTTCCCAGCCCCAAATTAACAGGCCCTATACATTCTTTGGAGAAAACATGCATAATTTCATTGTTGAAATGTATTAATATTGAAAGAGTAGGCCTAAAGCTCTTTATTATCAAAATATTTCACTCTTTCTCCTCCAGAATCCACTGTTTAGTTCCTAGTCTCCTACATTCCGAACAAGAAATTGCTTTTTAACAATAGGGCGAGGTCTTAAACTGGACCGATGTCATTTTCATATAAGGTATCGTTTTCATCAAAAAAAAAAAAAAAAAAAAAAATAGATAAAAACGCACAGGCGGGATTGGCAACGGACGATTTCCCTTGCCTAATCGTATCAGTAGCTGGGTAAAATTTTAGACCGAAACTTCTGTCTCTATTGCAACCTCTAATAGCTATTTGGACAGATGTCTGCCTGCTCCAGCCGACAGTCCAAAAATGCTGGGATAGAGGCAGGTTTTCGGACTAGGACTATATAATACTAGAGAAATCATGAAATGTTTCTGTTATCGAAACAACAAGTGTAGTCTGTATTGTACCAGACAAATCATGAAATGTTTCTGTTATTGAAACAACAAGTGTAGTCTGTATTGTACCAGCCAAATCATGAAATATTTCTGTTAATACAACAACAAGTGTAGTCTGTATTGTACCAGACAAATCATGAAATGTTTCTGCTATTGAAACAACAAGTGTAGTCTATATTATACCAGGCAAATCATGAAATGTTTCTGTTATTGAAACAACAAGTGTAGTCTGTATTGTACCAGACACATCATGAAATATTTCAGTTATTGAAACAACAAGTGTGGTCTGTATTGTACCACACAAATCATGAAATGTTTCTGTTATAGAAACAACAAGTGTAGTCTGTATTGTACCAGACAAATCATGAAATGTTTCTGTTAATACAACAACAAGTGTAGTCTGTATTGTACCAGACAAATCATGAAATGTTTCTGTTATTGAAACAACAAGTGTATCCTGTATTGTACCAGACAAATCATGAAATGTTTCTGTTATTGAAACAACAAGTGTAGTCTGTATTGTACCAGACAAATCATGAAATATTTCTGTTATTGAAACAACAAGTGTAGTTTGTATTGTACCAGGCAAATCATGAAATATTTCTGTTATTGAAACAACAAGTGTATCCTGTATTGTACCAGACAAATCATGAAATGTTTCTGTTATTGAAACAACAAGTGTAGTCTGTATTGTACCAGACAAATCATGAAATGTTTCTGTTAATTAAACAACAAGTGTGGTCTGTATTGTACCAGACAAATCATGAAATGTTTCTGTTATTGAATCAATAAGTGTAGTCTGTATTATACCAGACAAATCATGAAATATTTCTGTTATTGAAACAACAAGTGTAGTCTGTATTGTACCAGACAAATCATGAAATGTTTCTGTTAATACAATAACAAATGTAGTCTGTATTGTACCAGGCAAATCATGAAATATTTCTGTTATTGAAACAACAAGTGTAGCTTATATTGTACCAGACAAATCATGAAATGTTTCTGTTATTGAATCAATAAGTGTTGTCTGTATTGTACCAGACAAATCATGAAATGTTTCTGTTATTGAATCAATAAGTGTAGTCTGTATTATACCAGACAAATCATGAAATATTTCTGTTAATACAACAACAAGTGTGGTCTGTATTGTACCAGACAAATCATGAAATATTTCTGTTATTGAATCAATAAGTGTAGTCTGTATTACACCAGACAAATCATGAAATATTTCTGTTATTGAATCAATAAGTGTAGTCTGTATTATACCAGACAAAGCATGAAATGTTTCTGTTATTGAATCAATAAGTGTAGTCTGTATTGTACCAGACAAATCATGAAATGTTTCTGTTATTGAATCAATAAGTGTAGTCTGTATTATACCAGACAAATCATGAAATATTTCTGTTAATACAACAACAAGTGTGGTCTGTATTGTACCAGACAAATCATGAAATATTTCTGTTATTGAAACAACAAGTGTAGTCTGTATTGTACCAGACTAATCATGAAATGTTTCTGTTAATACAATAACAAGTGTAGTCTGTATTGTACCAGACAAATCATGAAATATTTCTGTTATTGAAACAACAAGTGTAGCTTATATTGTACCAGACAAATCATGAAATGTTTCTGTTATTGAAACAATAAGTGTTGTCTGTATTGTACCAGACAAATCATGAAATGTTTCTGTTATTGAATCAATAAGTGTAGTCTGTATTATACCAGACAAATCATGAAATATTTCTGTTAATACAACAACAAGTGTGGTCTGTATTGTACCAGACAAATCATGAAATATTTCTGTTATTGAATCAATAAGTGTAGTCTGTATTACACCAGACAAATCATGAAATATTTCTGTTATTGAATCAATAAGTGTAGTCTGTATTATACCAGACAAAGCATGAAATGTTTCTGTTATTGAATCAATAAGTGTGGTCTGTATTGTACCAGGCAAATCATGAAATGTTTCTGTTAATACAACAACAAGTGTGGTCTGTATTGTACCAGACAAATCATGAAATATTTCTGTTAATACAACAACAAGTGTAGCCTGTATTGTACCAGACAAATCATGAAATGTTTCTGTTAATACAACAATAAGTGTAGTCTGTATTGTACCAGACAAATCATGAAATATTTCTGTTATTGAAACAACAAGTGTGGTCTCTATTGTACCAGGCAAATCATGAAATGTTTCTGTTAATACAACAACAAGTGTAGCCTGTATTGTACCAGACAAATCATGAAATATTTCTGTTATTGAAACAACAAGTGTAGTCTGTATTGTACCAGGCAAATCATGAAATGTTTCTGTTATTGAAACAACAAGTGTAGTCTGTATTGTACCAGGCAAATCATGAAATATTTCTGTTATTGAAACAACAAGTGCAGTCTGTATTGTACCAGACAAATCATGAAATATTTCTGTTATAGAAACAACAAGTGCAGTCTGTATTGTACCAGACAAATCATGAAATATTTCTGCTATAGAAACAACAAGTGTGGTCTGTATTGTACCAGGCAAATCATGAAATATTTCTGTTATAGAAACAACAAGTGTGGTCTGTATTGTACCAGACAAATCATGAAATATTTCTGTTATAGAAACAACAAGTGTGGTCTGTATTGTACCAGACAAATCATGAAATATTTCTGTTATTGAAACAACAAGCGTGGTCTGTATTGTACCAGACAAATCATGAAATATTTCTGTTATTGAAACAACATGTGTAGTCTGTATTGTACCACACAAATCATGAAATGTTTCTGTTATTGAAACAACAAGCGTGGTCTGTATTGTACCAGACAAATCATGAAATATTTCTGTTATAGAAACAACAAGTGTGGTCTGTATTGTACCAGACAAATCATGAAATGTTTCTGTTAATACAACAACAAGTGTAGTCTGTATTGTACCAGACAAATCATGAAATGTTTCTGTTATTGAAACAACAAGTGTGGTCTGTATTGTACCAGACAAATCATGAAATGTTTCTGTTATCGAAACAACAAGTGTGGTCTGTATTGTACCAGACAAACCATGAAATGTTTCTGTTATTGAAACAACAAGTGTGGTCTGTATTGTACCAGACAAATCATGAAATATTTCTGTTATTGAAACAACAAGTGTGGTCTGTATTGTACCACACAAATCATGAAATATTTCTGTTATTGAAACAACAAGTGTGGTCTGTATTGTACCAGACAAATCATGAAATGTTTCTGTTATTGAAA